GTTTTTTCGAAAAGACCAAAGGGAGGGGGGGGCCATAATTTTCGACGATGGAAGTTCTGGCGAGGAGCGAGCGGCTATACGGGCGCCAACTTCCAACTCTGCTCCACTTGGCTCTTGCTGGAAGTGCAGCGCTTTTTTTTTCCTCTCGATTCCTCGAACAACTGCCTTTTCTTTATCTTTTTTGATGGTGTGCCTACAGGTATATACATAGATGGGACTCGGTCGCAAGTTGATTGTGCTGATAGCGATTTTCTCCCGGCGTGTATATGTATATACAATTTGATGGGTTGCCCCCTCATTTCGAAGCGCAAACAACGATAATTTCATTACATGTTGCCAGAACGAATCGGAATTGAGTAAGTCCGAGTGCACACCTACATACTCACACGACGGGCGAGGTGAATTCGATCGCAGACCGCGTTTTTGACCCCGCGACAGGCAATTTGTCATGTGTGTATACAACAGAAGGAGGGGGGGGGAGGGGTTCGAGTTCTTTGACGTGAAAAGAGTATACTCTCGGGTGTGGGGAAGAGGGAGTGCATTCGCTCGACCAGCTTTGAGTAATTTTAATGGCCAAGCTCGGACTGTATATATATATATATATATACTCGATCCTTGAAAACTCACGACCCCTTCCTTTCCAACACTCCATGCGATAAATGCATTACAACGCACACATGTACATTATGTAGGTGTAACCATATACACGACAAATATTAATTGTACTCACCATAATAACACAGAGCGAACCGAATTTCATGTATATGTACCAGTGCAGGTGTTTTTTCGCTGCTGCAACGATGACCTCTGTACTTGTCATCGTATATATACAGTTTGGAGCTTCGAGAAGCGCATTTATATTCGGTTGGGTTTTTACCGTAAATTTCTTACCCCCTTGTGTTTGGCTCTACTTGGCTGTAGGCCAAAATAATCAGTGGGAACCTAAAAATCTCGCAGGAGATTAATTTCTTTTTTTCAAACGAAACGCGGAACGCAAGGGATCCACCCCCTCCCCTTTTTTTTTTTATTAAATCGCCGTTCAAGATAATTAATAATGGATCATATAGCTGAATGTAAGCCCACTATATAATACTTATTGCGATATATGTACAATAAGGATAACATGATGTACTTGTAGCTGAGAATCATTTCACGCGCCACACGATGTCCATTAAGAGCGGAGGAGGATTTTTTTTTTTTTTTTACTTTAGCTCGCGTGCGATCTCTCGCAGTGCCCTGTGCTCTCTCGGGGACCGGAGCGGCGCAGTCGATCGGTTCTTTTCCTCAAAGGGCAAAGTTAATTTTTGCACAGTCGCGCGCGCGTGTATTTTTTTTTTTTTTTTTATCCTCTTTTCCCCTCGCGCGCAATTAAAAACTCTTGATGTTTATTTCTTCCTTGGAGTGTGCGATGTACGAACTGTTTGGTATATAGACGGGCGTCAATAATTTCTCGTTTCTCCGTTTATTCCTTCCCTTTTTTCGCCTTGCGGTTCCCGGTACAAAAAGCCGATCCAAAAGTTTACACACGGGAGCGAATTTTCTCTCGGTACACTGTACATACCACCCCCCCCTCCCCCTCGAAACTAGAGCTGCGTATCAATAGCTCGTTAAACGCGCATACCCACCAATATATCGCAGGGGGGTGCGGTTTTTGAGGAGGGGGATGAGAGACCGCGCGTACATAACAGGCGGGCACTTATTCACTTTTTGGCTCTCCCGTGGCCACTTGGATCGAAAATTTATTTAAAACCGACCCCCCCCCCACACGTGCACTTGTTCTCGTGTGTATACAAAGAGCCTTTTGTCCGTATATACGTATGTAAAAAAATATATGTATACATGTATGTTATGTATACGTACCGTGGGCTCGCTCGTACGTGTATATAGTATATGTGTATACATAATGTACGGGGTGTCGTAAAAAATGCTTCAAAGGAGAACAGACGAGCAAAGTGGTAGGGGCTGTTTTTAACTTATTGCCGACGATGCGGAAAGTTAATGGCTCGGCCGGAGAGAGGGAGAGGGGGTGAGGGGGGGGGCAAAAGAGAGGCGCATTGTTAGAAACGCGATCGTTTGTACATACAACACACATAAATATACAATATGTATATATCCATGAAAGGGAGTAAAGCACACTGTATAATTATATCGGGGTTGCAATATGCGTTTTGCGCTGTTTTGCGCGCGCGTTTTCAATCGATCGTAATGACGCGACGTATCAATGTATGTACATTATATAGATTAAATTAACGATTTCAAGACCACGTGCTCCTTCGGAGTGTGGAGGCTGTATAATATACAGTCATATATATGAATACTTGTATCGACGTGTCTTGGAACACTTTCTCTCCCGATGCATATTATACACTCTTTGCGCTTTATGTACATATTATACCTATATGGACACTCTGCAGTATAGTAGGTATATGGCATCCGATCCCCACGTGAACCTGGTGATGCACGTGTGTTTGCCGCACGAGAGAGGACGAGGAGCGTGCATCATCACCGCACACATAGAGCACGCCGTCCTCCTTATTTCTCTCTCGTGGGGGGGGCTTTTTTCAGCGCACTAGGTATATACAAGTGTATCGTCGTCGTGTCCCACGGTGCTCCGAAAACGGCGCACATGGTTATAGGTTTACACGGTTTATGTGTGGACGTTCGCGTGAATGGCTTCGATTAAGGACGCCAGTGTGTGCGCGCGATGCTGCGCTCTCTCTCACTTACTCCTCTCTCTATTTTTTTTTTCTTCGGTTGGCGGAGCTTTTAATTTCTGTGGGAACGCTACTGCTTTCCGATGAACTTGCGTGTATGTATACTTAGCTCGGGCCGAAGATTCTTGAGCTAATTCTTTTTCTCTCGACCTATAACCGGGACGATGGTGAGAGGGAAGCATAGCTTTTTTTGTTTCTTCTTCTTCTTCTTCTTGCGTTTTTTTTTTTTTTTTTTTTTCCATAACATAGCAATGAGGTGTCACCGTATAGCTTTGGTGTATTTATACTAGAACAACAATGGACAATAATAAGTAATTAACTAATGACCTCGAGCCCGATGGGACACTTGTAAACACCCCTGCATGCGTCTATTTATATACACGTTGAGGGAGAGAGAGGAGTAAATTCGGTTCTGGATCTTCTCTTACAAGAACATCGCCCTGCCAAACCGTATATATTTATACACGTGAGAAATTTTTCCAACATATATATGTATATAAACCGATTTTCTCTCGTCTCAAAACCTTTTCTCCATTGGGTGTTACACATCGCGTGAGAAAAAAAAAAAAAATATGCATCGATAAACTAATAACAGTTATTAAGACATACTTATTCAATGGCCAAAAAAAAGGAAAGCCTCATCAAGTGCCATTTAATCCAATATTCCGCGCGATTGCTTCTTCTCCCTCTATAAATATGTATATAATATCCGCAATATACACGTATGTATGGTCACAATAATGCGTTTATACACGCACTTTTAAGCTCGTTATACTCGAGGCAAAGCTTCGTCGATGATTATCAAACGGGGCTGCATGAGCGTAAGCTGGGGCATTACAAGAGCATTATACTTACATGTCTATCGTTACACAAAAACACACCCAGAGCACCTGTGCCCTCGTGGCCTCCCAATGTATTTTATATACACAAATGTCACCGCGATTAATCTCCAGTTTAAGGGCGATCTCCCTCTATTTCCCATCGATGCAAATTAAGCCGAATATATGCGTGCAAGTGTGTGTACGTGATGGCGGTCTCCCCCAAAGTGGGGGTAAGGCGTGCGCGCACGCCACGGTATACGTTGATTAAATCAACACTATCATCATCATCATCAATGCCGAGTCGAGTACTGCACTCGTCACTATTTATTTTACTTTATCATCATTTTTGTTTGTTTGTTTCTATATTACTTTGCGAGGGGCGTGCTTTAAACAAAAAAAGGCATAGTATATGTGTGCGATGGTTTCTTTCTCTTGTTTCATCGGCAAAAGGAAGGGTTGATTGTTGGAGACGCGCGATATCTCGACCTTTTTTTTTTGTTTTTTTTATTTTTCATTTCAGAGACTTTTGACGTTTATCGTGTAAAATTATCACTGCGCAAGTCCTCGCGGTACCGTGTGTAACAGGTGCCTCTTTAATTGATTCTCTTATAAATACCTGGCATGTAATACATATGAAAAAAAAAAAAAAAAAAAAAAAAAAAAACCATCACCGATCCAGCACGAAAAATCAGACGACCGCCCGCTGCTGTTGCCCACCTGTCGCTCCGTGGTACACGCTGTGAAACGTTGTTACACGCCAGCATCCCTATAACAAAAACAAAAATAAAAACAAAACAAAAACAAAAAATTCCGTGTAGATTACAATATATACAATAACAATGCGCGTACAAAAATACAGCGAGAGTCGACGAAGCTCCGTACAATAAACACTGAACGTCTGTATGTATGGAAAACAAGTATGTACGATTTCCATTTTTTAAGTATACACATAGAGCGTGGGGGGGGGGGGGCAGGGGAAAAGTCGTATCTCGCGAACGTGCAAATTAAATAACGTCCCGAGACATATATACCAGGCCATATGGATGCGTATAGGGAAGGGGGAGGGGGGCCGTGCAGTGTACAAAATATTGCATATAATATGGTAATTCGAGACGAGGAGATAGGATGAGGACCTCACCCTTCTCCCAAAGCCAAGCACCCTCGATACGATTAATAAATGGAAAATCTCGTATATTCCACGCCGTTGGTGTGGGGGGGGGGGGGTGGCGATTGACTTTATGTATATATATATACTCTCGCCGCAACTCGATCACCCTCGCTCCCTGCTATGTATAATCGGTCGGTCGGGGTGGAGCGCCCTTCCTGTCACCTCTTGTAAAAATATATACCTACGTGTGTATAATATGTTATACATAATACATGTGACGTCTCACAGTTGATAGTGTGAATGTATATTTCCATGGCTTATGTACATAACTTATAATGCAAGGTTTTATTTGCGCAGGGTCGCCAACGCACCGCAGAACCTGATTTCAACCTCGAGCAGACTGAGCGACCAGGCGCCCCTCAAGTTCCTCGTCGAGCTCACCCTGTCGAGCTTCATCATCCTGGCGCACTACTGCGCCGAGTCCCCGAGATCTCTGTCCTCGACGGTCTCGGGCAAGCCGGCCTGCGTCCTCGCCGCCGCCTACACCGCCGCCACCCTGGTCTCGGTAAGAGGAGTTAGTATACGAACCTTCTTTGCCATGTCTGCGTTCGTGCATGTGTGTGTGTGTGTGTGTGTGCGTTTTTTTAGCTCATCTGTGTATATTATGTTGCACGTACTCCCTTTGTGATGTGCCTTGTTCGCTTGGTGGCTGGGATAACCGATCCATCCATCGAAAATCGTCCTGCAAAAAAAAAAAAAGAAAGAGGTGTTTCAGCATGCAATGGTAAAAAAAAAAAAAAAACCCCTCAATCCAGCCTCCCTAGTTTCTTGTTGGCCGAGTACCTATATATATATATCTATACACCGGTGTGCATTAGGGTATACTCGACTTCCGGAGCACCTGCAAACTTAGACTGAGGGGCCCACCTGCTTCGCGCCGCTGTAGTTCATACCTACACGTGATGTAAGTCCAACAATGGACCATGTGCGGGGGAATACGATGCTTTCCGATGAACTTGCGTGTAAAAGCACATCCCTTGGGCCGAAGATTCTTGAGCTAATTCTTTTTCTCTCGACCTATAACCGGGACGATGGTGAGAGGGAAGCATAGCTTTTTTTGTTTCTTCTTCTTCTTCTTCTTGCGTTTTTTTTTTTTTTTTTTTTTTTTTTTTTTTTTTTTTTTTTTTTTTTTTTTTTTTTTTNGAGCCTTTATCACTCATTTTAATGTTTTTTAATTTTTTTTTTTTTTTTTTTTCCATCATTTAAATCCGCCGGGGGAGTAATTTTTTTCATCAGTTGTAAAACATTCAAGCTTTGCAATGCCGATCCATACACCGATATAATCGTCGAAAGCTATGCATGCGTATATATTATATACCCGATGTATGTACGAATGTGTGATGGAAAAAAAAAAAAAACAACAACAACAACAACAACAACAACAACGACGACAACGATTAATTGTACGTTTATTGTTATTCGTTGCAGACGCCTTTTTTGAACCCGGCCCGAGCCCTCGGCATAGCCTTCGTGACCTACAGGTGGGACAACCACTGGGTCCAGTGGATGGGCCCGATAATCGGCAGCATGGTGGCCGCCCTGATAAACGAGTACGTCCTCAGCGGCAGCCGTCACCTGCGGGAGTCCCGTGACTACGATGACGGCGACAACTCGTCGATGCGCTCCGACGAGGAGACCTACGACGACCTGCCCAACCGAAAACACGGCAAGTACAGCAGCGCGGGCTACCAAACTTACCGGCCGGTGGCCAGCGGTGCCTCGATATACGGGCCCCCGCCGGCCTTGGAGCGCGTCGAGTCCATCTACGGCGGCACCAAGTCCCTCTACTGCAAGAGCCCGCCCCTCACCCGGGCCAACCTCAACCGGTCCCAGAGCGTGTACGCCAAGTCGACGAGCACCGGAGTCCGGGATGGCCTCATCATACCCAAACCCGGACCACTACAACCCGCCCAGAGCCTATATCCCATACGCCTGAACGCCGTGGGCCACGAGAGCCACGACCTTAGACCGATACACCCCGTCAACCAACAGCAGCAACACCTCCAAACTCAGCCCACGCCGCCCGCGCCGCAGCAGCAAAACCACAACAGCACCAACCAGAACATGCAGAACCAGTTGCAACAGTGCACCCAGAACATCTACGGTATACGGGGCATCACGAGTACCAGCGGCCTTGGACAAAGGGACAACATTTACGGCCACCTCGTGGGTGGTGGTGGTGGTGGTGGTGCCATCAGCCAACAGCAGCGCGACAGCCCGTCGAGCATATACGGCAGGGCTCCGGCACCGCCGCCAACGACTCATTGCACGCCACCGTTGCAGCAGCACCAACAACAACCACCGCCGCCACCGCCGCCTCCCCTGCAGCAGCAGTTGCCGACGCGCGACAACGGGCACTCGCCCCACCAGGGCTCCCAGGATGGGGGCAACAGTAGCACGGGCGGCTCGATGAGACGGGGACCCACGGTGGACCTACGCCCCGAGAGCATGTACGGCCATACCCAGCAGCAGCGGAGAACGGGTGACGATTCGGCTTACGGCACCTACCAGAGCTCCTCGAGGGGCAGTGGAGGCGCTGGCGCTACCTACGGCAAACTCGGCGGGCCCCCGCCTCCGCCTCACGGGTACAGCCACCAGCAGCAGGGCAGAGCCAACGGTGGGCCGCCTCAGCCCGGATATCAGAGACACTCGCCCAACCCGCCCCCGCCCCAGTACTGATGACGCGCCCATCGTCAGTTGCGCGTCAACGGCGACGACCTGCTCACGCTGATCGACTGCGGTTCTGGTGGTGGCGGTGGTGGTGACGACGGGGTCACCGAGGCACCGTCGGATAAATCCACTCTGTGTCGGCATCACCGGTGGGAGGCGTCGTTGCGCTAAACTATATACCCGATACAGTTGTGCGTATCGTTGATTTTATTGAGAAGGTTTTTTTTTTCAAGTTTATTTTATTATTATTATTTTTTTTTTTTCCACTCATTTGACTGTACATAGGTAGCAAATTTTTATGTGAACGGTGGGTGTATTCTGTAGGTGGTTTAGCGTTACTCTATGTATACCAGCTGTGGTCACCGATTTTTATATACTGTAAATAAGTTAACGCCATAGCATTTTTTTACGTACGTGACCTTTTTTTTTTTTTTTTTTTTTTTCTTTTTCGCGAGAATACTTTTGTCGTTCAAGGTCTTTATATTTTTTTTATTTTATCTTTACGATGAAGTTTCGGTGGTCGAAACTTTTAGGATGAACGAAGCCCAGTGACTGAATCGTGTGTACGTGACTGTACGTATAAATATAATATTTAAAAAGACTCCGTTCAAATGTAAGTTTGTACAATATTGGTGCATTAAATATACACATGTATAGTATTATTGATGTACACGCAAGCAGAATCATACCGAGTGACGACAATAATATAATTGTGGCATGTTGTGTTCTTATCTGTGCATTTTACAGGCGATATTTTTGTAATCAATTATATATACATGTATTGTGTATCAAGGATTTTCAATTTTTCACTTATTCGAGGCACAAAGGAAAATTACATTGAGTAATTTTAACAAATGATGCGTCTACCAAACGAACAAAATACTTATAATAATACCTATACAAATGATCAACTCTTACCTTATTCAATTATATATTGTATAGAATAATATAACATTGTCAAATCAATATGAATTTCTTTTTTTTTCATCTATCCAACAAAAGTAATTTGTTGTATGTGTAAAAAAAATAACAATATACATATTTATAACTATTAATTGAGCAAAAACATAAATGTAGTCGTCGAAAAAAAAAAATGCAGAGCATTTCATTTGTCAAAATCGGATAAGTAAAAATTAACTGAAAGTGTATGCGTTTATCTTTACATGGATTATATTGAATGAAACATGAGATACATAAAAAGTATATTATACACTGTAAGTATATGATAAAGTGTAGTTATTTAGTTTGGTACTGCCAATATGTCTTTACATTGAATTTCCTTGCCATAAAAATCAACAAACAATTAGTTTTACAGAGTTTAATACTGCCACCAAGCCAAAGTGTGATAAAGAAACAAAAAAAATCTTTTTTCACTGCAGATGTTTTTTTACCAACTCTTTTTGTTTCTTTTAGAAAAGGTTTTTTTGTTTTTTTTTACTTTGCCGACAATTAAGAAATTCAATCACAAAACAGTTAAATAATGTATTTAATCGGAGCGATATTATAGTTATTAGTAAAAACGTTAAGATTATAAATTAAGGAACATGTAAATATATTAATACCTTATTAACAATTGTATTTATTGTTTTTGTACTCTTGATAAGTAATTTTAATTTTAACAGCGTCGCATATGTTCGTTGTATGCGCATGCAAATGGAAAATTAATAAAAAAAATAAAAACAGTTATCAAATAACGTGTGTTGGTATATGTTATTGTTCTAGTATAAGAAAACTTGCAACATTTGAATTGAAAGAAAATACCGATTGTCAAGAAAGAACTGACATGGTTAAGCGACCGATAAAGCCATCCGCTATTCAAACAAAGACTCACGTGTATTCCGCTTCTGAAAGCCAAGCAATAACTTAGATTAAAATGATAAGTACACGACACCAGCACTGAAACGAGGAGTAGAATCCGCATTGATAGTGAAATTGGTATAACATTAAATTTGCCTTTCCACAATTTTTACAAAAAGTTATTACTGATGAAAGTCACGATTTCCGCCTCGAAAAAATTTTCTCGAAAATAATACAAGTTCTGTAAATGAAATGTCGAAAAATGACTATTTTTCAATTTTTCTATTTCTCGTTTGACTCGGATTTACAAATTTTCGTTTTGTCTTTTTGAACACGGTAAATAACGTTTTGTTTTCCGAATCTTATTGACATCGTTTCCTGGTAAATTATAGCTTTCAAACCCATTACATTCATACAATTTCTGTTTTCTTTATCAAGTAAGTATCACCTTAAGAAAGTGACTAAGTAAATACGTATTTGAACAAATGAATCCCTTGTCGACATTCCGCCCGGACTATGTTAGAATGTTGTTACGTAGTGTAGGTGTAATACACGTCTCAATGGTTCGATATTGATATATATGTGAATGATGTGTATAATGTGATAATGTTAAGTAAACACAGTAAGGCGCTGATAATTAGTGGCTGATATCGAGAATCGAGAGGAAAAGGAGGCGGAGGAGAGACAAAACACAAAACGATTGTGACATTGAGGGGCAATGGTGTAACATAAGGAGGTAGGAAAAAGCTTATAGAGCACAAGAACAAAATTAGTTTTGAATGAAAAAAAAAAAATAAATAAAAAAATGTAAGACACAACAAACACGACACAAGCCCATGCACTTGTAACTTTCATTTCTATATAAATAAATACAGCAAGCCAGTTACGGTATTTACGGTAATACATCGTGTGTGAGTGCGAAGGAGACACTTGTGTTAGTCTGTCTCTCTTCCACGCACTTGTACACAATAGGTGTACTACTTACTGCGCTCTGGCAGATTTTGCTGATGCTTTTTCGTGTGTGCGGCTTTTGCTGTTTGCTCCTCATATCATACCGTGAATAAGTAGGTACTGTGAATAGCCCCAGGACATTATAAGTAGTGTGGCGACGACTGATGTGTGCTGCCGTGGGCTGTCGGTGACGTGACCAGTGTGACTACGAACGACACGAACGAAGTAGAAGTAGTGAAGTACACGCATATACTTGAGCCTTGACGCACATCGTCGTCGGAGTGTCGGACTCGTCGGTCGGGCCCCACATCAGTGCTGCAGAGTGTGTGAGTGCGTACATCACCTCTTCTCTCGCGCTCCGTTCGTTTCGTTGTCGATCGGCAACCGCGAGAGAGTACCAAAATAAATAAATTGATAAATAAAGTAGCCGAAAAAGAGAGAGTGCGCGAGTGTGTGTGTGTGTGTGTATACACGAGAGCAGCAGCTCCCGAGGAAGTCGGAGAGGAGGCAAAAGTGTCCGACAGAAGGTGTATTTAATTGCTCGACAAAACAACGACATGAGCGTGGACGCGTACGGACCGAGCAGTCAGACGCTCACGTTTCTCGACACAGAGGAGACCGACCTCATTGGGGCAGACACCCAGGGCAGCGAGTTCGACTTCACGGATTTTACTCTGCCCTCCCAGACTCAAGCTTCCCAACACGACCCGGCCACCCAGCCTACCCAACCGACCCAGCCAACAGCCGTGCAGGTTGTCGTAGTTGTTGCTTTTCCCATTCATGATGATAATCATACATTTCCTAATCAAACATCGGCTACATTTATCATCACTATCTCTGCAATGTCTTGAATAATAATGTATATTATCATGTGTACCTACTTATGATTATATACCGAATGTTTTGTGCGTTTGTATCGTTCGTCTGCTTTCTGCTTCTTGCATGCGCTGAGCCACGAAATTGTTATATACCACTCGAAGGAGTAGGTACATACTTGTTTTTCGGGATTTCGTTGTGCAGGTGAGCTGAGGAGCGTCCTTGGCAAGGTGTTAGAGGTCGAAAAATCCGTGTTTCCATCGTTACTTTGGAGAAGCACGTATCAGCTTGAAGTTTAAAAGCAACCATGCGGTCTCCGATGTCGTTCTAACCTCAATGATGACGTTGGATTAATGGGATCTCGCGAGCTTTTGTCGTTTCGGAGCTCTTTTTATATAATTTTCGGGTCTCAGTGTGGATATTTTCATGATTTACAGGTGCATTGAAGCGTAAGCTCGAAGCGAAAAGCTCCATTGCTATTCAGCAGGGATAGGTATGCCCTGTTGACAGTGGTAGAGGGCATCCATGTGTTTTCTGAACCAGAAATAATTATGATTTTGACCGAGTTATTGTATTTTCACAAGTTTTTCGTTACCCAAAAATGGTCTAGTTTTTCTAAAACAAAGTACATCAACAATTGACATTCGTTTATCTTCAATATCCAATAGAACGCCGTTCTTCATACTCTTTCTACAAGCTGTTGTTACATGAATATGTATGTGGATATTGATAGTATCTTGGGTGTAGAAAGGAAGTCATTAAACATGCATGCGATGTTAAAATAAGCAACCTTCTTTAAAACATTTTTTTTCTAACAATTCAACATTTAAATCTTCTTTGATTGGAAACACTTTACCTAACTTTGATGTACAAAATTTTTCTACTTTCTTGTACATTTCATTAGATTTGTTTTTAAATTATAGATAAGATAAAGAATTGGAATGTCTGGAGCAAGTTCCAGATAATTCATATTAATTTCTTGTAACAAAAAAATACTTTAATTTCTTATTGTCTTGAAAGCTTAGAAATTGATATAATTTTTCTTGTTATTTGAAAGAAACAAGTTTGAAAAAAAAAAAAAAAAATGATTCACAACTCAATTTATTTTCATTTTTAGATCAATGGTAATGTTGGGACCTCTGCTTTGGAACTGAAAATTTCCGGAGCAGCCCAAACTCTTGCTGAGCTTCAATTTGAAGAGGAAGAAGAAGAAGCTTATTATAATCGTGATTTGCCGGATCATGCTTGTAAATACTGTGGTATCCATGAGGCCTCTTGTGTTGTCATGTGTAATGTCTGCCGCAAATGGTTTTGTAATGGCAGAGGCAACACATCAGGATCTCACATCATCAATCACTTAGTTCGTGCCAAACATAAGGAAGTCACTCTGCACAGGTGTGTAACATTAGTTTTGCAGTTTATTTGAATCGATTTGTATTTCAATTTTTTTATTTTTTACAGAGACGGCCCACTCGGTGAAACCATATTAGAATGCTACTCCTGTGCTGTGAGAAATGTCTTTGTATTAGGTTTTATACCAGCAAAAGCTGATTCTGTTGTTGTTCTTTTATGCCGCCAACCATGCGCCGCACAAAGTTCTTTAAAAGACATGAACTGGTATGTACAGGATAATAAATCAGTAAAATTTAATTCTGGATTATACTTATGTCATAATGTATTTTTAGGGATCAAGAACAATGGAAGCCATTAATTGAAGACCGGAGTTTTCTGTCTTGGCTGGTAAAAATCCCATCCGAACAAGAACAGCTTCGCGCCCGCCAAATATCGGCTCAGCAGATCAACAAGCTGGAAGAACTCTGGCGTGACAATGTCGACGCTACCTTCCAAGATCTTGAGAAGCCGGGCGTGGATGAAGAGCCACAACAGGTTTTGTTACGTTACGAAGATGGATATCAATATCAAAATATTTTCGGTCCTCTTGTAAAACTTGAGGCGGACTACGATAAGCGATTAAAAGAATCGCAGACGCAAGAAAACATCGAAGTACGGTGGGACGTTGGTTTAAACAAGAAAACCATTGCGTACTTTATGCTGGCAAAGACGGACGGCGATATGAAGCTCATGCATGGTGATGAGCTGAGGCTGAGGTACCTAGGAGAACTGCACAAACCATGGTCTGGAATTGGACATGTCATTAAGATACCCGACAACTATGGAGAGGACGTCGGCATCGAACTAAAAAATAATTCTGGTGCTCCAACCGAGTGTACAAGTAATTTCGTTGTCGATTTCATTTGGAAAAGTACAAGCTTTGACAGGTCAATATTCATACTTTCAATACAAATCTTTGTATACGTAATTTCTACTGATATTCAAGATTTTTCTACGTAAAATGTTTTTAGGATGCAATTGGCATTGCGTAAATTTGCAGTAGATGACGTTTCCGTGTCTGGCTACATATATCATCGGCTCTTGGGCCACGAGTTCGAGGAAGTTTTATTCCGTTGCCATCTACCCAAGCACTTCAGTGCACCGAATCTGCCTGATCTCAATCGTTCACAAGTTTACGCTGTAAAGCACGCGATACAGCGCCCGCTATCTTTGATCCAAGGTCCTCCTGGTACTGGTAAAACGGTTACCAGTGCAACAATCGTTTACCAACTGGTCAAACAGAACGGTGGTCCGGTACTTGTATGCGCGCCATCAAATACAGCTGTGGATCAATTGACCGAAAAAATACACAAGAGCAATTTGAAGGTGGTCAGGCTTTGTGCCAAGAGTAGGGAGGCTATTGACTCGCCTGTAAGTTTCCTTGCGCTCCATAATCAAATAAAAAATATGGAGACAAACACGGAGTTGCAGAAGTTACAGCAATTAAAAGATGAAACAGGTGAATTGTCGAGTGTTGATGAAAAGAGATACAGGTATGTTAATGTCCTGATTTTTCGTTCAATCAATTTAATTGATGTATTGATCTGACATACTAATGCTCAAATGTTAATTACATAATTACAGATTGCTGAAAAAAACTGCTGAGAAAGAACTCCTAGAGGCAGCAGATGTCATTTGTTGCACTTGTGTAGGTGCTGGTGATCCCCGGCTGCACCGACTTAAGTTCCACTCCATCTTGATAGACGAGAGTATGCAGGCCACTGAACCTGAATGCATGGTACCTGTTGTTCTCGGTGCTAAGCAGCTTATCCTCGTTGGGGATCACTGTCAGCTTGGTCCAGTTGTGATGTGTAAAAAAGCGGCACGTGCTGGTCTCTCTCAGTCGCTCTTTGAGAGGCTTGTTGTTCTAGGCATCAGACCGTTCAGACTCGAAGTCCAATACCGTATGCACCCGGATTTATCGAGGTGCGCAATGATTTCGCATTATTTTCAGTCCAATAAAGCTTGTTTCACCAAATTTCTAAACTACTTTCGATTTCTAGGTTCCCCTCAAACTTTTTCTACGAGGGTTCACTACAAAACGGGGTGTGCGCTGACGAACGCAAACTCACCAAAATCGATTTCCCATGGCCAGTTCCGGATAAGCCAATGTTTTTTTATGTGACTCAAGGTCAGGAGGAAATAGCCGGAAGTGGTACCTCATATCTAAATCGTACAGAGGCATCAAATGTCGAAAAAATAGCGACTCGTTTTCTACGCTGTGGTGTCAAGCCAGAACAAATTGGCGTGATCACACCGTATGAAGGTCAACGAGCCTATCTCGTGCAGTATATGCAGTATCAAGGTTCCCTGCATTCTAAGCTATACCAGGAAATCGAGGTAGCAAGCGTCGATGCTTTCCAAGGCAGAGAGAAAGATATTATAATTATGTCGTGCGTTAGATCTAACGAACACCAAGGAATAGGTTTGTTTCGAATGATAACACGTTATTTTTAACTTGTAAATTTCATGGTGGATTAAAAAAATGTATTTTTTTAATAGGATTTTTAAATGATCCTCGAAGATTAAACGTTGCACTGACGCGAGCAAAGTACGGTATCATTATTGTAGGTAATCCAAAAGTCCTTTCAAAGCAGCCACTTTGGAATCATTTGTTGAGCTTCTACAAAGAGCAGAAAGTATTGGTCGAGGGTCCTCTAAACAATCTTAAAGAGTCAATGATACAGTTCGCTAAACCAAAGAAACTCATAAATGCCGCTAATCCAGGCTCGCACTTTATGTCCACATCGATGTACGATGCCAGAGAAGCAATTATACCCGGTTCTGTTTACGATAGGTAATGAAAGACTAGCACGAAAAAATTTCCATCGAAATACTTGTCTCTCATACTTTGATGTTTACTTTTTTTAGATCGGGCGCTCAAGTTAACGGTGCACAGATCCATAATCCCTATTACCAGCGCAACGTGCCAATCGATATTTTCAGCCGCACGCATGACACGATTAGCTACATTAGTCCTGAGCGTGCACAGGCTGCTATGAACAACGTGCCTGTACCGGTGGGCATGTTCATGAATATGGCACATGTACCACCTCGTTTCTACAACCAGCATCAGCAGGCTCTTCAAGCTCGTCAGAATCAACGAGTGCGACGGGGTGGTATGAATGCAAGAGGTAAAGGTAATGAATCACATTTTTTTTTTCTTTATTTTTTTTACCTTCATCCTATTTCAACCTATTACTAAATCTATGACCATAACTCAGGTAACAAAGTTGGCGGCGGCGGAGGAGCACGCCTTGGAAAACTAAGCCAGTCTGAACAGAACACACAGCCCTACAGCCAGCCAGGTCTGCCTCTGACGCAAGGTGCGACACAAGGAATGTCACAGCCTGGCTTTAGTCTGTCACAGCCAGGATTGTCGCAGGCAGAATTGTCGCAAGACTCGTTTGCGGTTGGCGAATTTCAGTCGCAGATGGACGGCCTTTTATCCCAAGACTCCACTTATCAGGGCGATCGAAGTGGTGGGCACCTTTACTTTGTTCAACAAACATCATATTATTGAAACTGACATATCAATATCGTAAAAAATTACAGGTTTCTATCAGTCTGGACAGTCTCAGGCTGGTGGACAGTTTTCCCAGCCATACTGAGCCAATTAAAATGTGGCTGAGCAATGCATTCACCATGCAACAGCGTCGCGGGAGCGACTGAAGAAAACTCGTTCGATCAATGATATTTATCGACAAGCCAATCAACCCAACAACTCAAATCACTCTGTAACTGCGCGAAACGGTACCAACCAACTTGGAAAATACTACAATGCACGATGCGCGAGAGGGAGACTGCTGACGCTGTTCGACATGCCACTGTTTGTCGATCAAGAGAACAAATGAGACAGCTGAGGTCTGGAATCTTTCTCCTTTATTTAATTGCCGAAAAAAAAGTACGGATACCTATGGAAAAGATAACATGGAAATGACCAGGGAATATCATAGCAATGAAGTTAAATTGATTTTCCCTCTTAATTCAAACCTTTGTTCCTTGCTTCACTTAAGGGTTCAAGGACAAAGAGCTAAATTACCGTTTCACATGACGGAGATCATCAGTTGACACTGGGATTTTAAAGCGAAAAGTTTTTCGATTTGAAGAATAAAAATACACAAGGAAAATAAAAATAAAAATAAAAAAAAATAAAAAAAAACGAATGTGTGACGAATACCAATTACAAACGACTCGAAAATAGATTGTGAGAAAAAATGCAACATTTCTCTTATAATCTAGAATCAACATTTATTTCGAAAGCTTACGAATATTTTTAATAATGAAAACGTCATTAAATATTTTCTTGCTTTTGATGGGAAAGTTGTTTTCTTGATTAAAAAAAAATTATTTTCTGGTATGAAAAATTTACATTGTTTCTTTATTGTGTAGCTGTCTTGATGTTGATAACATAATTTTTTAATTGGAGAAAAAATACGCTACAACAATCGGTTCTTCGGTTTCTAGTATCAGTTATTGTAAAAAAAAAGCACAAAATAATTTAATGTAAAATCTTTGATTTTTCGCAATTAACTTCTTACTACCTTTATATTTCTTGTTTCCTTTTGTTCGAAAGTGAACATTTTATTATAAATCATAATAAAAGTAAAAATTAATCGTATGTTAATTAATAAATTAAATTAAAAAGATGATTATTATTTTTGTTATTTTTAATACCTCATCTCCAATTTCTTGGTACTAGAAAATTCTTCTGATTGTTGAGGTACTTTTTTTATAACATTAATTGGTAAACTTTTAATTAAACGACATAAATGCAAAAAGACTCAACTTCAATATAAAAATCTTGAAAAAAGAATTTAAAATTCGTGAAACTAAAGTTAATAATTCTTGAATACATATTTAGAAAAAGGTTAAAATGTTCATAAAAAATTATTTAAAAAAAAACTTTGATAAAAAATGGAATTCAGTTTGTTGTTTTTAACTGACTGTATGATAGAGAAAAATTTTTTTTTAATTTCTTTCAATGATTTTTTGCGCATTCGTTTGCAAATGTTTCCCAAATGAAAGGGTTCTAAAATATGAAATAAAACAAATGAATAAAATCTTAATATCACTGTGAAATTTTTGTTAAATTAAATTATTCATTACCCTCAATAAAAATGCATCCTCTGGTGTAAGAAGTTTTTTTATGCAAGTCCTTCACGTACCGACATAACATTATTTTTAAAACTGAAAAAAAATATCATCAAATGTTTTTTTTTGTAATATTTAAAAGTCGTATATCAAAAAAATTACTTACTCAAAGTTACTGTAATAACATAAAAATTGAAGAAGAAGCTCATCTAATGTGAGTTGGTTTTCAGTGTTAAAAGTCAAGTCTGTTTTTTCAAAAAAGTCTAACTTTTCAATACTAACATCATACTCGAATTTATCTTTCAAAAGATCTTGAAGACAAGGCAAAACTGGCGGTTGAATACCTATTAAATATAAAATTCATTACCATATCCTCTTACTTTAATACATGGACAAAATATTGAATTTACTTTGCAAAAAATGAATTAGCATGAGCACCAGTGAGTAGCTTGAAAAGGATTTGTACTGTGAGTCAGTAATTTTGTGAAGTTTGCCCATAATTTAATTACCACCGCCAATGGCCTAACTCTCCAATCCACTAAAACGTATCAACGTTTTTTAAATTGAAAAAGAGTACTTGGTACTTGGTGTCATTGAAATTGTTTACCTCGAGCATAACAATGCAACAAGTATGTATTTCTTATGATAACATCCGTTCCACAAGTAATGTCCACACTTATACATTAAACTGAGAATCTTTCAACTGAAGAACTGGAATACTTAGTGTCGGATACAATTTCAGAAGACGGTCTTCTGAAGACCTTAACAATGCTACATGGTCATGGTGCATATTTACGTTTGAAAAGGTCCGAAATTCCGAATGTCCGAGTCCGATGAAGTCCGAATTGCTCGGAGCACTGGAGCACTGAATACATTTGTTAGATGGCGTTGATGCTGATGTAGGCATGTAGGGATCCAACTATACCGACGGCTAAAACTGCGGGTGACTGGCAGTCACTGACTGCGGATTGAGTCACTGCGCTGTATCGAAGTAATCAAAAACGAGACCTGACCTGCCCAGAAGAGGCCAATATATATATATATATATATATATATCGTACACGACATATAATATAGATTTGTTCGATTAAAAATTAAGAGGTTCCGAGCGCTCGGAGCGCTCGGAGTGCTCCGAACTCTAGCCCGAACACGCGTTCTTGCTCCGAGCGCTCCAAGTGCACGTGACTCAGGCCGCCTGTGGATAGCCGTGTAAGATCCAGCTCAACGTAATCGCGAGTAAACAAACCGTTTTTTTGTTTTGATTGCATAGTTGGATCTTACAAGGCTATCCACAGGTGGCCTGAGTCAGGTGCTCGGAGCAAGAACGCGTGTTCGGGGTTCGCCGTTCGGGCTATAGAGTTTGGAGCACTCCGAGCGCTCCGAGCGAACAAATCTTATATGTTTTTCATGTAGGTAGCAGTTAGGTCATGTCATGCCGGTCCGGTCAACTTCCCACTTTCCACTGCAATATTTCCAATCCTATATTCGCTCCGAGCCGATACAGAGGTTGCGCCCCCTCTAGCCAAAATCAGGCAAAATTTCTTGGCACTTGGCAAGCTAGAGAGAGAACGACGATCCTCTCCTGCTGTCTTATTCAGCCAATCACAAGCAGCTATACGCATGTATATATGTTCTAAACCGTTTGCTTACATGCAAGAAATTTTGCCTGATTTTGGCTAGAGGGGGCGCAACCTCTGCATCGGCTCGGAGCGAATATCCATTTCCATATCAGTTCAATCCAGTTCAGTCTTTTGGTAAAGAAAGTCGTGAGTTGTCGTGAGTGTCGAGACTCAAGGGTATTTACATGCAGTGACACGGTCGAATTTGGAGCTGTTACAGTCGACAAAAAAGTAGTAAAAATTTTGTAAAATCAGTATAGGTCGATTAAAAAACGTTTAACAATGGACTGCAACAATAAAAATACGCACATCAAGAACGAGATGCAGTGTCCTTTTACGTGGGAGATGGACGAGAGCTTAGTGCTAGATACAAATTTGAACAATGAGCTGTTCGATATAACATTTACCGAGCAGCCGGTCATTGCCTTTATGAACAATGTCACGCTGGCGTTCATCAGCACTGTTAAAAATGAGCTTGAGACAGCAGTCAAGTTTTTGATAAAAGCCTCGCACATCTGTGAGAATATCGATTACGAGTGAGTTGATTACAATGATTGATTACTTGATCGATGAATACAAAGAGTTTAATTTTACAGTTAACGTGTTTTTTAATCTTTGCAGGCAGCCCGTGCACCGGAATGTATCAAAGAACGTGCTGCAGCACATCTGGCAAGCGAGCCTCTACTTTGTGCATAAAGTCCTGATTGTCAAACTGACCGAGCCAAAAGAAGAAACCACAAGTATGATGGTGATAAGCTCATTTCTGCCGCAACCGTTAGACGATCCGCAGGCAATAGAAACAGTGTGCACCCTCAAGGCCTGCCAGAGCATGGCCTGGTACAACTTCAAAACCGGTAACGAGTCGGCTTACTGGCTGTCCCTTGCCCAGGCCAAGGCAGCGAGCGATGACTGCCCGAGCGCTCCGCTTTTCCACTTCCTCGTTGGCCGAAGTCTCCTGCATCCGCTCTGTTTTCAAAGCCTGAGCAACTGGCCATTCGTTACCGAGCTTAACCACCTGCAGAGGGCTTACGAGCTCACCAACTGTCCGTTCATTGGGATTCACATCGAGGAGGTCTTCAGGGAGATCGGTGATACTGAGACAGCCGAGCTCGTCCGTCTGGCTATCCACAAGTCGCAACCCTTCAGCGTTTGGGTCAAGCTCAAGCTGGCCATGGCTTTCATACAGTGCGATGACCTAGAGCGCGCTCGGGAGATTATCGAGATGGTCCATTTGGTTCAGCCAAATCATAAAATGCTCGGGTTGTGCAAGGAAGCATTCTGGATCAAGCAGACGGTTAGTAAAATGTTATTAGGTTGCGCATAGTTTCATTAGATTTTATTTGTGTCGTAACTTTTCTTTGATTTTTCTCTTTCAGGCATCGGGAATTGCTTTATGTGGTCAGAAGAGTAGCATGGTCGTTTTGGCGGAAAGCCTTGATGACATGAAATTGTGAACAAACTAAAAGTGTAAGCGCATTTTTTACTTTTGTTGGAGATCGTGTAAAATTTTATATTAATTTTTGAACACTGAGCAATATCTGCAGAAAAAAGTACTGCTGTTTTCTAACTTGAGTTTTAAGTTTTTTTTTTTATAATTTACCTTAAACAGAGGTGTGTAAAGTTTAGTCATTAACTTGTTTTAAAATACTCGAAAAATACCGATAGTAATCTCAAGTATATTTTTCGTATTTTTACATGTACTATTTTACTTTTAAAGGTCTGAAACTTTATCTTTAAATTACATTTAAGATGCTAAAAAAAATATGTCGACAGCTGTAATAAATAGTTAACTGTGTTTCAAATGAAAGATCATGTATTGATACAAAACGGTTTTTTTAATCTTTTGAAATCTCATTTCATAAGTGGATTTGTCTTTTATTAACTAATCAAAGTATAAATAGAAGTTATAATTTAGAACGACTTTTTGATTTTTTTTTATATTTTTAGTTGATTGTATACTTTTTTTCTCTGAGGCTTATATCAAATAATGCTGTAAAATGTTGTATAAGTATATTTTTCTAATTGAATAATAAATAAATTTTGTTAAATAATGCTCTCTATTGCCTTCTCTTTTAATTGTTTGACTGGTGTAACAAAAATATTATTCTACAAGAATTTCTGAATGAATTAATTTTCGATAAAACAACATGCACTAAAGATCTGTATATAAACCGTTTATTCACGGCTTTCCTCCAGCAATATATACACACCAAACTAAATGATCAGTTAAAATAACTGAACAAAAATCCCTATGCTGCAACTTGTGATGATGACCGCAGATGCGCAGATCGGAAGATTGGTGGATGGATAGGAACATTGAGATATACACACCGGTCCCAAAAGTATACTATACTTATAGTATGCCAAATCGCTATGCCAAAGTATACCCATATTGTACCATACTTTTAAGATTGCGTGAATGAGAACTTGGGAACTCAAACCTGCTCTGCAACTACAGCATAATTTTTGTGGCAAAGTTTTAAAGTGTAATGCTTTTTTTTTATTAGGATACATTTAATTGAATAAAGAACCATCAAATTCAGTGAGTCAAATATTGTTAACATAAATGGTAAATATGATGTAGATAATAATCAATTCAATATTTTTTCTAGCAGGAATCAATGATCGGTTAGACTGTATAAACTAATGAATAAATATGAATGTATCATTATTAAAAATAATCATACCTAGTTATTAAAATCAATAATGTAGAAACATTGTTGTAATATTACATGTTCTTACCTCGATTAGGTCGTGAAAACGAATTGAGGGGAAAAACGTGTACAGTATCTTTTTGTAATTTATTTGATAGACTATAATATACTATTATCAGATCAAAAGCTCAATAAAATCAATGTTCCATCTTTTCATTAAGAAAAATGACGTTCAGTCATCAATAAAAAGGTATTAATCTTGAGGCTAAAGCTCTTCATTTGATTGATAAATTGAAAAACTTGATAAGAAAATTAAAATTTTGTTTCTTTAATCAAAAAGTATTTTTCGTTTTAATTGTGATTAGAATTTTCAGGCACAAATTTTTTAGACTTATGAAACCTATACTGTCTTGTAAAAATCTTACACACAGACAGTATCTATATCCAAAATAACGGTTGGTTCTCTTTTGTATATTTAAAATCAACTTTGGATATGATAATTACTTTTTTAACGAAATTCTTTTCAATTTTATCAACTGCTTGGGTTAAAAGAGAAAACTTATTTCCAATTACCGATGAAAAAGCAACTGTTTCAAGTAAACTTTTTTAATATGAAACATAATTATTAAAGTACAAAATACAAATGAAATACATGTTAATTTTTTTTTTATTTGGTTTGGTCACATTTGCGGGACATCAAGAGGATTTTTTTACATATTTATGCGTATATAATATATAGGTGGTGGTGGTGGATATATGTCTAGGGGGGGAAGAGAGAGAGAGGGAGAAATAAATGCAGCAGACGCCACTGCTAAATAAAAGCTAAAATCAGACCTTTCCCCAACCTTTGACACGACAGCGGTACAATTCGATTTATTGACATTTAGAAAAATTAGAGAAAATGACTCGGTAAGTTGATCATCTTAACAAATCACAATCATCGTTTTTGGCGAGTGGGTGGTATTTTCGTGCAATAATATTTATGGGGTGTTGATACTGTATCGTTTGTTTTTCAAAAGAGAGGTTATACACACGCCGCTGACGGATGCTTTCGCGCGCTACTCCGAAATCATTTCGCAAAGTCGTTTTATCTTCATCTTGTTCGTTATGATAAAGTGCTTGAATATTTTTCTTACTTTATTATTTTTCAAGATTTGTCTGTTTTTTTTTTTTTATAGCTGTTATTCTTTATTTGAAGGGGTAACCTGCAAGCGCTGTGCTAGGAATTTTCCTCTTATTTTTACACTTTTGTTTTGTTGATTATTCAGTTGAGAAATTTTTCTCGTGTTAACGTCATTATGATTTGATTACCTATTATATACTGCATGAGTAAGATTGTAGAGTAAATTTGCACCATTTGGTAAAGTTTGTTAACCAAATGAATTTGAACTGTTTTTCTTCGAATTTTAATACATCGATCAGGTTAGTCTAGCATTTTATTGTGAAAATTGTATTATTTTCTTGTAGTGCAAAAATCGAGTTGGGAGATGTCACGCCACACAACATAAAACAATTGAAGTTACTAAACCAAGTTGTATTTCCAGTATCGTACAATGAAAAATTTTACAAGGATGTGCTAGAAGCAGGAGAACTAGCAAAATTAGCGTATTATAACGACATTGTGGTAAATATTATTTTTTCTTGTTCATAGTAAACATATGCGTACATGTTTGTGTGCAAGCTTACAACAAATAAATACATAATCATTCTTTGTCTCGCGGTAAGTGTAGGTTTTTAATTCTAACATTTTCAGGTAGGAGCAGTTTGCTGCAGAGTTGATACATCAGAAAACTCCCGACGATTGTACATAATGACATTAGGCTGTTTGTATCATTATCGCAGACTTGGGATTGGTACAGTGATGGTGCAGCATGTTCTGAATTATGTTGAGAAAGATGGCAATTTTGATTCAATTTTTTTGTAAGTTTGTGATAAAACATGAGCTCTAATGAGATCAAACCAGTCAAATATTAAATTTATATTGATTGGTTATAAAGTATGGTTTTTTCTTATATGATTTTGATCTAGTAAATAGATGCAGTCCTGAAATTACATCTTGTGGTTTTGAGTACTCTAAAATTTGAAATTTGAAGCATCAACACTTTAAAAATCAATACATCAAATCATTTAACGTCAATACTCGTTTCACCTTAAATAAAAATTAAATGTTTTTGTTTTACAGGCATGTTCAAGTGAATAACAAAGACGCCATCGACTTTTACAAAAAGTTTGGCTTTGAAATAGTGGAAACGAAGAAGCACTACTATAAGCGAATCGAGCCAGCGGACGCGCACGTGCTGCAAAAAACTCTGCGGCCGCAACAGCCCAATGCCCAGTAAATATAAATTTGTATTACAACTGTTTCTTCTTCACCTACTCTCCGTAACGCACCGAGGCGTACTTTTACATTCAGCTATCTATTGTACAAATTAATTAATAAAAAATGATATGCATGTCTCTTTGTCAAACGTTGCGTCTGGAGCCGCATGTATGTATATATATATGTTTAAAATGTTCATAAAAAATTATTTAAAAAAAAACTTTGATAAAAAATGGAATTCAGTTTGTTGTTTTTAACTGACTGTATGATAGAGAAAAATTTTTTTTTAATTTCTTTCAATGATTTTTTGCGCATTCGTTTGCAAATGTTTCCCAAATGAAANGCTACGCTAAGTATTATTAAATGAAACTACGTACCACTAGTTTTTTTTTCATAATATTTTTTTATATTCATAGAAACTGGAGATTCTTGTTTCCTTAAAATTGATAAGAATAAATACTTAATATTAACTACGCCTTTTTTAGTTCAAGTATAAATTTAGTGCAGCGGTATCAAAATTTTAATGTTTTCAAAATCCTACTTGAAATAAAATTTGTTTCTTTGATATCGTTCTATTTTATATTTTGTATGTGATTAAAAATCATAAATAAAATTGTGTATGAATACATTTTCTTACCATGGGTACAAGGTGTGCCTTTATGCCCTCAGAAAGAAAAACGTCACACGCACCGTGGGTGCAAAGTAAAAAACTCTCCCAAAGAGTTATTGGGTTAATGGTAGGAAAACTACTACTTGTTCATCGTATCAAAACCGAATTATTTTTAAATGCCGCACTAAATGCTTGTTAAAATTATACATTAATTTTTTTTTTTTTTTCATACATCGATCCATACAATAAATATACTTTCAGCACCTTAATTAAAAGGATCTTGTCGAATAAAAAATCACATTGTACAATTAAAATACGCTGGAGTAACATAAATCGCACACAATTCGATAAGGTTTAAGGTGATGGCAAAAACTATACATTCTTTGAAATTTTTTGGTTTTTGTAGTTAATACGTGTACTTAAAGTACGCTTTTGTCACATGTAAAAAAGATTGCAGAAGGACCAGAATTGGTCCCTTGTTTCTAATTCGTTTAAAATTTTTTTTTTTTTTTTTTTTTTAATAATATGCATCATTGATTTCGTAAAGGTTCAATTATAAAAATAAATGTTGTACAAAAATTAAAATATTTGAACAATACGTTTCAATATATTAATCTTCTTTAGTCCCTTGAATGTTGGACGATATTCGTGTCACAATTATAAAAGTCGACTTTTAATACTCTTCTGTTAAAATAAACTCCAGCATTTGTTTACGTATACTTATTCCGTTCATCACTTGAAAATTTAAAAATTTCTTTCTATTCCTAAATCACTTGTGGTTACGTTTCTAACAGTTCCCGTATTCTCTTGACACAAACCAAAGAAGCTTCGTGCGCTTCTTTAGATACCTTAAAATTGAAAAAAAAAAAAAAAAAAAAAAAAAGTAATTTAACGCCTTTCAATTAGAAAATTACCTTCATGAAAGCAAAGATCCATTGAGAAGGGTAACTTACCACTGATAAGTTGAGAAAGCCATGTGGTAATCCAGATAGAATGTCCAAAGTAGTCGGTTTTTGCAATAATTTTAGTTTTCTTGCAAACATGACACAGTCATCCAGACATGGGTCTAATTCCATTGTCTAAAAAATATGGTTTATTTCATAAATTCTGTAAAATCCATAAATACAATTGAATAATTTATACCTTACCAGAATTTTGACAGGTGGAAGCTTCTTTAGTAGATCATCGGACGCTCTGTATGGACTGAGATGGGGATCAGACGGAATTGTAAACTGAAATTCATCCCATGGAAACGAGTCATTGTCTACTCCCAAGTGTCTATTCGCTCTATTATTGTCTTTGTGCAAGTTCCAACCAAAAAACGACCAGGTTTTGGTGGTTTCGTTGTCAATTCCGTTGCTACTGTCTCCACTTGTGCTGTTAAGTATAGGCACAGACGGTCCTAATCCCGAATTTTTGTACATATCTAGAAAGCGTTTTATGTACTCTTGTGATTTAGATTCCTCAAATGAATTTTCAGTCTCACCTTACGACAAAGCACGAATAATGAGAATCACGATAGTTGCTTTTTTTTTAAATGTCTCATTATTGCTGCTCCATGATTTTTAAATGTACCAACCTTGAAAAGTCTCCACTTCTGTTAGGCTAATAGAGTTTAATGTAGAGTCGGAAGGCAGCGAAGCTATTTTTGGTACATTCTGATCTTCTTCTCCTGTTGGACTTAAGGCCAGAGCGATAAGATCGCTTTCGCTTACTTCTGCAAACGATTCAGTGTCTGACTTGTCTATTTCCACGACGTCTTCGCTAAAACTCTTTTCCCTGTAGCAATGTGTCACAAGTGAAGATTCTCAAGTTTCTCAAATACCTTTATATTATTTGAAAATACTTACCACGTCTCTTTGTTGGGGTCTGTGGACGCGTAAGCCTTTAAACATCGCAACAAAAAACCCAATGGCAATACAGGATCGCTAAGGCAAAAAAATCGAGCCGGAGGTATTGTAAATTCGAGAAGTACTGGTGCATAGGCCATAAATATTCCATCTGGTGGTCTAATACCTAATTCTAGACATCTTAGCGCCGTAACTAAGTTCAGATTCGCTCCAGCCGAATCACCTGCAATAATAATAATAATAATAATAATAATAATGTAGATATTACATTCAATCGTTCACATTGGGATGAGTACAACTCACCAACAAATACGACTCTTTTAGCAGTACTACCGAGCAGCGAGCTTGCATGCTCAAGCGCCCAAACGTAAGCGTACAAAACTTCTTCAAGAGCTCGGGGATAAGGGGCCTTAGGTGCTAGACTGTAGTCAATACTGAGAATAGGTACATCGAGTTCGTAAGTCCAGGTACGCAGGTAGCACTCGTGCGAGCGTGAACTCTGGGCTACGAAACCACCACCGTGACTATGGATCAAGAGACAGTCGCTCTGCTCAGCTAGTGCACCTTTAACGCTACCCGATCCGACCTTTCAAAAATTATGCTACGTTTTTTATCAAATTTAATCAGACAATTGTTCGTTTCTTTATTTTATACTTTACCATGCCTATTCTACGTTTTGCGCTTAATAATCTCACGTGAATGGGCTTTTTTCCTATATGACTTTCAGGGATCGGGATTTTTATTGTTGCGCCATTCAGTGTCTGACATTCTAATTCTTCAGGTGGTATTGAGATCAATTGATTTATAGCCAGTGTTGGCATTACCATTTGAGGTAGACTTATCAATAAATCTAAAGTATTTGGATATAATAATAATAATAATAAATTGTTATTTTGAAAATAAATTATTAATAAAAAAAATTATACAGTTGTGTTGCAGATAACTTGAACATTGATAATCTACGGCTACGCTAAGTATTATTAAATGAAACTACGTACCACTTTCATTTAAATGCCAAAAGGCTTGACAAAAAGAAATATCGGCGTGTTGAGAAATAGTAACTATCCTACGTGCTCTAGCCTCAGGATCCACCAGATATTGGAATGAATTCGTACATCTGCCCAACAATGTACCGTTTGCATAAAATATTTCACTGAACGACGCCATACCAACCAAAACAACCTTTAAAATTGTTTTCATGTTATCGCAGAACTGAAAAATAAAAGAAGTGCTAATTTTTCATCAACTCGTCGATGCTGAATTTTATTTGATTGCTTTTTTTTTTTTTTTTTTTTTTTTTTACTTCTTTATACATGAAAATTTAAGCAAACACAATATACCAACGTGTAAGTAATCGTCCAAATAATTACCTGAAATCCTAAACATCTACCATAAAAAGAATACTGATTGATAGCCTCAGTCTGTCTTAAAATTTTGTGAGGATCGTGTCCTTCGGAGGGAAACAGATTATACTGGCCATCCTCCATTTGTTCTTGGCTTTTGAACAAACTTTTAACGTACTGCAAAGTGGTGCTCAATGCTGCCAGTAGTTGAGAACAAGCTTCTATTTCTCTGTTAAAAGTATTATTTGAAAAAAAAAAAAAAAAAGCTTAATTTTGTCATATAAGGATATGTGGTGATTCATCAACTCAACAAACAATCATCGAAAACTGGCTGTAGTGCAACAAGACTCACTTGACATGGTGGGTCTTCCTGAAGAGAACCGAGTCCTTCTGATTCAGCATATCCCGACAGACACCTCCGCTGTGCAGCACGGCCTTATCCACCATGATCAAATGACTCCTGTATCCATTGCCAGGAGTATTCTCATCGAGATCAAAGAGCGGAGCGATCCTGTACAGCTCGCCGTAAACGGGCCTCATATCGTCCAGACTGTCGTGAATGAGAGTCAAAGCTCCTTTGATTCTAATGCTACCCTCATCCTGATGGGAATCAAAGTGATCGGACAGAGCAGAACAGTGCTCTCGCAGAACACCCCACGAGGATGGCTCCAGCTCCTCGTAGGAGGATGTTCCCTCGAATTGGTATCTATTATTTGTCTCTGGTGCCATTTTATTCGTGCCTATGCTTATTCTTGGGACGGTGAGTTGGAAAGACTCTCGCTACGCAGCTCCGTATAGATAAGTAAACACAGTAGCAGCAGACAACAGAGTTGTCCGGCAATTATTATTGAACTGCGTAGGCAATCATGACTGTCCGTCTTTCTGCACAGATAAGGAATTAATTAAGAATATTTAATACATGCACACATATTTGATACAAGTGCAAAACGATCTGGTTAGTAGGTAAGTATATTGTGTTGCAATAATGTAAAGCTCTCTCATGACTTTGTTACACATCGCGCGCACCGCTTCGATTACCCGTGAAAGCTCGAAGGTCAATGATAGATGACGTGTGTATAGACTTGTCTCTCAATCGAGTGAGAACTCGAAATTCACTCAAGAGCTTACAGATAAGGGGAACATTTTTTAAAGTAATGTCATTGTTCGTTAAAAATAATTAGGTATACATACAAAAAGCCATTAAGTGTAGACGTGTGTATTGTATTGGTGTACAACGTGCGCCTAGGACGGAGCTATGATTTTAATTAATTTTTTTTTAAGTGTACTCACTTTATTCGAACTTGATGATGAGCTTTTTCTTCACGGTAATTTTTAGATAGACGTGCATTTTATTGCTTGACAGTGGCCGGACAGAGACTTGCGTTCCCCCCTCCAAAAGAGAGAGAACTGCAGTGTGATTATTCTGATGTCTGATAGTCTGATATGTATGTGTGATGTGTCATGCGCGCCGCGCACACGAGCGTCTTTCTTTTCCGACTTTCCGTATTGTAACACAATATATATGGATTATTTCGCAAAAACTTTTTTGCTTCGTGTCGTAGTCGTTTAAATGCTTATCGAGATGAAACTGAAAGTGTAATACTTAGCAATAAACCTATGTATTTACCTAAATATGATACAGTTTTCATTTTGATACTTTCAAATTACATACGCGCGGGGGGAGGGGGGGGTGAAAGCTTTCACGGGTGAGCTTTTTATCGAAAAAACATTGTTTTCGACCCTAAATTAAAATGTTGACAAGTACTTGGAAATAGAGCTCATCTGAAGTAAAATGCGAGCAATGACATTGGATTATTATCATTATTGAATTGAATAAACGTTAAGTTTATTGTTCTATTATTCGAAATATAAGTGACAGTTGATAAAATTTCATTGGTCTTGAAGAAACGGGCAGTTTATGTGAAAACTCAAATTAAAAATAATCACTTGAAAATTTGTTTTGGTAATTATTATGAATAATCGTTCGCATTTATTTTAAACGCTTTCATTAAAAAAATTGTCAGTTTATAATGCTATGTTTTTTGAAAAAATATCACTACGATATTAATAACTTCTTATTTCCTGAAACTTCCTGAAAGTATAAAAAATAACAAATAATTGTTATTTTAAACAATTTTAAGCTCTTGCGGAAAAAAAAATATTTTTCATGTGTTTACATTACGTAATATTAAGAAAAAAACGACGAAAAAACTCATTGCGAACATTCAGACAAATAAAATTTGTACAATAGTGTTTTTTTTTCCATTCAAAAATTATTATTGTTCATTGATACATACATGAAAGTATTTCAAATAATCACAAAATCATTGCTATGTACAACGTATGAGACTTTGAGAAACTGAGGGTACATTACCATCTTAATATATTTTGGAGAATCTTTTTTTTAACCAATAATCGAGTTTGTTATTACAGTTTCATGTTTTTTAACTTTAAGAATTAGGATTTTTTTTTTTTCTATAAACAACGCACGTCAGCCGATTATTGCTGCAATCCAACTTTATAAGAAAAAAATTAGCGTGAAAACTAATGTGAAAAATCCCACGATTGGCAATAATGACGCAGCTCACGTGCACGGATTAAAATATATTACGTCCTGCTTGAAAAAATAATGCGCTATTCGTATTCATCCCCGCGTCCTTGTATTATACGCATTTGGATCCCGATAAACGTGAGCTGTGTTTTTGACTATTTTTCGTCCTTTTTTTTTTTTTTTTTTTTTTTTTTTTTTTTTTTTTTTTTTTCTAGAAATTAAAAGAAAAAATTAGTTAATTGACTAAATAATAACTTCGAAACACTACACGCCATTATCAGAAAAATGTCGTGTGTTTTTTGGTTTTTCAACTCCTAACCCACAGCTAGTTACCGCCACAGTTTGTGTAAAAAGTAGCTTATTCATGTACCCATGAATAGAAGAAAAAAAAGAAAAATGTACATACAGATAGACGTGAAGAACGAATGCATTATACAACAACGCGTCGCATAATTTTCGAACATATTTGCGTGTCACTTTTATCAAAGGGACAAATAACGAAAGCCACGAGTAAACCGTGTTTATTTTAACAATTTCGGAAAATGGATGAAAAAAAGAATAAACACCTGAGCTAAAAAGTAACGAAGGAAAAACTCAGTGGGCCTTAAGATGAGTGCACGGAGCGGAGTAAGTACTCACGTGGATGGCTCTTGCACGAGCACTAAACGGACAAAGAAGTGCCCATACTTACCTTGGGGCATGAATTTGAGGAAGTAGACTCTCTCGTGTATGTGCAGTGCCGGTATTGTTGGAATGATAAACTCATGGCAGAAACAATTTGCACCAAAAATGTGCAACTGTTCTTGAAAGTATCGGTATAAAAATTTCGTACGTGCATCACGAGTGATATTCTTTCAAATGTAGTTGTTTTTTCATCGTTACAAATATAAAATGATATTGGCAATTACTTCATGACATTTATTTTTTATATCATGTTAATAATATCTTACCTGTCATCTACATCGTCAATCGTTCCCGAGAAAAATCTATGATCCATACTTGCTGTTTTAGCTGTTTAAATATTGTCATAATTAGAAACAGAATAACATTTCGAAACAAAATATATTCACACAAACTTAAATGTTGTGAAAAAAAAAGAAGGAATAATTTCAATTTATTGTGAACTGTTTTTAATCTAATTGTCACGCAACAATTTAATATCTCAAGATAGTGCAAATCATGCATTCGTTCGAAAAAAAACGAAAAATTACCCGGTTATCATGACGTGGTCGGTTAAGTGACGCAAGAACATCTCCCGACTCCCGCACTCGTGATTATATTATGTACTTACATGACGTATCGGGTTTTCTCTGCGAGATAAACATTTTTTTTTTTTTTTTTTTCCAAAATCGTGTCGAATTTCAATCGTCTCCGCATAAGCAACTTCAACGAAAAAAAGCTGTTGAGACGAGATTACAACGTTGTTGTGTACAAAAATACTTTAGTTTTTACTGTGGTGTTACCTACACGGTGTATCGACAAACTATCATACTTAGGTTTTTATTTATGTATACTTAATGTTTCATCGCTGATTGTACACACTTTTTCCTTTACGTAGAGTCACTGAAAACTTCAACTGACAGTAATCAATTTACCGAGAGCGAAGAACGACAGGAATTTTTTTAGTACGAAAAATTGTGGTGAAGTTATGTCGTTGTAGGCTATCGTTGCAGTACATTGTGTGTGCGTGTTGCTGAAATTTATAAAAAAAAATTTATGGTAACAGCAACATTTTTTGTCCAGAGTTATCTATGATTTTTCCTTTCAATTGGCTACGGTTATTTTTTCCTCCGATGACAAACCATCAGCTAATACCGAAGGTAAAAATTTTTATCAACATATTTTATTTACGTAATTTTGAGCTATGCTTCAAAAAACACATGTAAGTAATTAACTATGTACTAATAATAATTTTGCATTAAACTGTAAAAAAAAGGGAAATTGCCATAACGGAATATTTTATTTCACATTTGCTTTTTCAAAAACAGTATACACATGATCGTCTATAAAACACAAACTACAGCCACACGCGTAAAAGCTTTAAAGCCTGAAGGGACACTTGAGCCGTATTCATCATCATTTGTACTAACGAGTCATGAAAAGTCTTAATTAAGAGAAAAATTCAGCGAAGCTTGGCTAACGCTTGGTGTTGGATTTTTATTTGTTTCTTTTTTTTCATTCGCTCGTGAGAAGTCGAGTCACTCTCGACTCGATATGGGAGGACACGGGGCATATCGGGTATCTTGGGTTACAAACTAATACTTACTGTAATAGTGACATTATAGAAAAATAAACAATAAGTTTGGAGTTTTTAAATTGGAATTTTTTTCTCACAATTTTTTTACGATCGATGCGCTATTAAATTGTACAGAACAATGTGGATGGCATGCATGACCCAATCACCCTCGAGTGGTATTTGAAAATTTAACAATGATTAGTTTTATTTGATACATAGCTTATCAAAGACGTGTAAATACAAAATTAACATTTCATACCTACAGAATTTTTGTTGAATGAAAATCTGGGTTATTTTTTGACAAACAAATATTTGAAAAAACTTTTTAATCATCGACTGTTAAAATTAATTACGTTTACTACGCCATACACGTGTGTTTTAGATCTTACTTAGAGTATTTCAATAAGAATTAAACGTTTGCAACGGCCTTCAAAAAAATTCTGCTTAGACGATAAGTAATTGTGCTAAGGTGACCAAGTGCCCCGACAACCAGTCTGTTATTCCGAGCAGAAAATACTTTTTTTGTGTAACAAAACTAATTATATTATCCAAACGACTTGGCATTTATAAGCGCGTACAAAACTACTTAGACTTTTGTTATGTAAAAATTTTATAATTCACAGTTTTACTTAACAAATTTTTTTTTTTTTTTTTTTTTCATAACATACTCGAAACTCAATGTGCCCCAGTTTTCCGTATACTATGCATACAAGCTTATACGTATGACCTTATTTCTTCGCAGTAGGTTCGAGCATGTGTCGTCGTTGTATTTATCGCACAGTTGACGCTTTAGATGAATCGCTTAGTTTCTGGACTGATTGTGTTCGGTAAAGTAGTGTACACAAGTGTGCGCGTTTGTTCTTTCAAGAGTCGAAATTTTTTTTTTCTACACTATTAGTCGTCGAGTGAAAGAAAAAGTGTATGGTTTAAAATGGTAAATGTGATCAATTTTAATTCAGAAATGAAAAATACGTATGTGCGTGATTACGTGTTTTAATTAAAGTAATTAACAAAGAACGGTGTACTTACAGTGAGTATTTACAAAAATAAAAAAATATTAGCTTTAGATTTTAGTTAATTACTTTAAAGGTATTTATCAGATTAAAAATAACGTAGTTACAGCGACAAATTGCACTCGATGTAATAATTTTTATGGAAACAATTTTGTTGTTCTAGTCCAAGTATTTTGACGTTGTACCTATTATGTTTTTTATTTTCTCGCTTTAGATAATATGAAGATAACTAGTGATTTTTATGAAATTCAGCAATTAACAAATGTATGTAGCATAAATAATATACTACTAGCAAAAATATACTCGATCAAAATTGTTATTGGCTAACCATCCGCATTAGAAGTTTTCTCATTTCAGTATGTTTTACAATCACCAAGTTCGTGTAAATTTTTTCAATAATAGTTAAAAGTAATAAAGTTCAAGTCCTCGTGCACTTTGTAACTTTGAACAGAAAATTATTTTCTTCACAAGTCTACGAAAAGATTAAACAACATTATTTTTTATCTATTTTTCGAACTTACAGTATCAACTGTAAAAATCCATGTATGTCTCTTAAAATATTTTTTAAATAAAAATTCTACGTTTTCACTTGTCATTGTGCTTTTATGACGCATCCGGAGTATCGTCGTGGTCGGGTCGTAATAATTATCGGAGACGCAAGCTTATGCGCTTTTGTCAGTCTGACATCAGGAATGAAAAATGTATATGGTTGGTGATCTTAGGATATATTTTAAACACGATGTTACGAATGTTGATATGTTATGTGTTACATGATCGATGAATATAAAAAATTCGATGACGCAAGTAGTAACAACCGAATATAGTCAGACATTGACACTGTTTGTCACTTTTTTTTATTTTTTATTTACAAATTCAAAAAACACTTGATTTTTTAAATTTACGTACTTATAAGTAGTTAAATAACAGAATGGGTCCTTCTCGAAAGAGGCTTAATACACTGATTACCGTAGTCTAATTGGCAAAAGTATAATTAAATTCTTTGCTCAGCGTATCCACTGTATATATTATATAACAAGCTTTAGTGCCGTTAGCGGCGAAAATTGGAAAGGCAGGATAAACAAAACGGATTTTTACGCAAACGCTATAGAGAAATCTTAAATTTGTTATGAAAAAATTTCTTTCCCCGGTAGATCAACTGATAATTAGTTATGGGTGCGTCAAAGGTTTTATTTTATATATCAAGTGATACATGGAAATAAATAAGGCATTGATTATTGAATTGAAAGTTGGTAAGTTTATGATTTTGTACATGCCTAATTAATATACTTTATTCGAAAAAAGCAGCATGTAATCTTTTATTATCCAAGCAAAAAACAAGTTAATACTATTTACATTGTGTCGGAACAGCCTTGAAGTGGTTCAATTACAGGTGAATGTAATCGGTTATTTTTGTTGACATTTTAATAATTACCTGAAAATTTTTCATGCCACGATTGATATTTTGAGTAAAGAGAATAGTTGGAAAAATATGTAGGTACCAGGTAATGAAGAATTTTGATCAGAAGATATTGACCCGCAGTAAGATAATCTTTATGAATTTTTTTTTTCTCTACACTTACAATGCTATGAGTCATTCTATTGATTCGGTGTTCAAGGAAGAATATGGTTTTTTCCAATGATACGTTATATTTAGGGCACGACCAATTTATGGGATGTTGTCGAAACAAAAAAGTGTAACCACTTTTTCAATGCAACAATCAATGCATGATTTTTTTTTTTTTTTCGTCACTTGAAATATCAAGTAAAACCCTTGACGCATACAAAAACACACTCATAGGTGAATATCAGTTGTTTCACAACAATTTTTTTTTTTTTTTTTTTAATAGTCTTGAATCGTTGAAAGTGACATTAAGGTTTATCGATTTGAATTGGCTTTTTTGATCAGATCAAACCAATTCAATTTAATGCCACGTTTGACAACTTATCTCAATCGGTGTCAATAGTGATTTTTCGTACTTTCGTGATATCTACTTGAATAGTAGCATTTAACATTCATTCGTTTTAATAGTACTCCATTCTTACTAATTCAAATGTACGTAGTTTAATAAATTTCACTTTTTTTTCCCACCAGTAAAAGTAACACATGCTTTGCACGATTATTTTCATTTTTTTTTTTTTTTTTTTTTGTATCATTACAACGCTCTTAATTTAGTTCAGTACAGGAAAATTGCTTTTTGTATGAGTCTTTATGAATTAGTAGTTATCCTACTGTGGTTTTTTTCTTATTTTTTAATAAACCAATCCACGACCTACGTAACTTAACTGCTAGCAGCATTTGCGGAATACAGAGTCTGAGTTTATCATTTATCATTCTGGTAAAGAGAGCACGGTGTAAGATATACGTGAAGTTATGTCTACTAATTATAGTCATCACTACTAAGTAGTGCCATATGGTAGATTTTATTAAACCATATGAGTAGAATATCTATTCTTTTGGAGATCGATTTTCGGGTAAAAGATAAATTGTATTCTTGCCGCAAATAGCACAGACAATGTCAACTTTTTATTTTACATCTATAACATTAGTTGCGGCTGGTTTATAATTGATTACATGGCTCTACTATTTAGTATAGTAATAGTAATTTGGATCAGCGCCATCTAGCGGTCTTCATTTTTTCGCGAAAAGTGGCTCCTAAAATTCTGAATCAGAGCTTCACCCGCTTTAGGGCCAAGAGCCATTCAATCAATTAAAAACCAGCCGCAACTTATGTTATAGATGTAAAATAAAAAGTTGACATTGTCTGTGCTATTTGCGGCAAGTGCACAATTTATCTTTTATCTGAAAATCGACCTCCTATCTCCTATAAGTAGATTTATACTTTTGGAGGATTTATACAACACAGTCATATATACAAGATTTGTTCAAGCCCCTTTTGGTTCGGTTTCGGTTCGGTTCTCTTAACAAAATATACCTATGTATAGGGAACCAACAACTATTACAACCAAACAGAGGAGCTATTCACATAGACATTTTTTGCTTATTTCATTGTGAATGTTGATATTGAGAAGCTATTCACGTAGACATTTTTTGCTTATTTCATTGTGAACGTTCATATTGAAAAGGGGGTTCCACTGTTCTGCTAAACTCAAATTGAGTGAACAGACTGAACAACAAATAGCTCCAGAACTGGTTCTGTATAGGTATATAGGTATATTTTGTTAAGAGAACCGAACCGAACCAAAAGGGGTTTGAACGAACCTATACAGCCGCCTATACGTCACTGCGAGGCCCTGGGGCTGTGCCGCACTCGTATAGGTAAACTTTAGCATTGTGTATAAACAATGGCAAGTGGCAAGTGGCAAGTACCAGTCAAAACATTTAACTTAACTTGTCAAGTGCAGAAAAAAGTGAGTGATGAATTTAACGTTTAACCCTCGAAATATGTTTACACATGAAGTACAGCATCATGTTGATTTTTCTGATTTAACTAATCTTTGTCATAATTATCACCGCTGCGTTGAATTTGAGCGTCGAAAACGAAAGGATTATGGAATTATGGTAGCAATTGGGAAACCGGCTATCTATTACACCTATTGTTTTACATAAGTATAACGTCTCTGGTGTATTCTTACGCTGCATTCGAGAAATTATTCACATTATTGCTTGCAATTGCCTATGAGTCAAGTACAAGAGGAGATAAGGGAAGAAAGTTGTGCGACTTTTTTTTGGCATTTTTTGCGCTTATTTATTTATTTTTTTTCATATATTATTACACATGCAATTAATCTTTATACCACCAGTTCTGCATGCAGCATCATTATCATCTTCGTCATTGCACTAACTGCAAGTCTAGTAAACACATACTTATATACTCACACACTGGCTCACTATGAATTTTAAATTGCAAGGCAATCGATCGGCATCAATGGCATTTGCAACGAGTGGTAAATGATCAAACTAAACGAGAGAGAGAGGCACTGTACAGAGTAGACTGAGCAGATGCTCTTCGATAACTATATACTTAGGAGTAGGAAATCGAATTAATCTCATAATTTTATATGCAACGAGTCAAGTGGTTAAAACGTTGATTCAAAGTTGGAAGAGCATGAGCAAGTGTATAGTGTGGAGTAGCCAGAGGTCAGCCTTGAGTTATATATTTAGAGCTTTTTATCTATCGCTCCAGCTGAATGTTTAGATTGTTTTTTACTTTTGTAACTGACTCGAGACGTATCTCCGACGCTTAAAAGCATCAGTTTCATTTCTGCTTTCGAGCTTGAAGTATACTTACTACACTTACTGCTTACTATTTCCATTGAGTGTGACTGACTGCTGAGTTAAAATCTATCTACATATTTTATAGTCTGCATCAGATGGTTTTTGTTTAGAAGGTGAAATAAAAAGTTGAAAAAAAAACTGTCAATGCTTATGTGTTACAAAATATTGCTTGATTTAAAATTTAAAAAAAAGTTAAATTACTAAATTACATGGAGTTAAGTTGACAAATTTGAAATTTCTGAGTATACTAATGACGTCACTGTATAGTTATTCAAACGAAGTTATTAAGTAAATTTTTTTCGTGCCAGGCCTTATCTTTACGACCGAATAGGTACTATCAACTGTTTCCGCTGATATGAAGAACCAGGCAAAACAGGAACTTTGTTCTTGGCATTTGATACCAGAGTACAGTCAGCCTAGTTAGAAAATATACTTCCAACAGCTTGGTGATTGGCATTTTTGTTTCAGACTGCCGTTTAATGTGTATCATGAAACGTCGAATCGCCACAGCCTACAGACAAAGATTAAAATATCTGTAAGAGTCAGAGTATCATTTTGATTGTAACTTCCTGTAGACCGGATACCACACTGAATTTATTTTAAATGTTGTGAGCAGCTAGAATGAAGTACTTTCGTGAAAAGGAATTCTTTGGTATGCAATTTATTCATATTATATAAATAAATATAATCATAACGCTTATGTTAAAAAAAAATGTGTGTATTAAACGAACTTACTATTCCATTGTTTTGAGTTACCATCTGGTATACATTGATTCATATAAATTGAATAATCGAATATCACAGTAATAATTATTCATAATTTGTTAAATAAAGATCAAATAAGATTTTCATTAGGCATCAAATCTGATAAAAAGTGCACAAAAATCAGATGAACTATAACAAACTTTAACAAATGCATCAGCAACGTTATAGTCAACTCACATTGTAGGAACATTGTCCAGCAATGATTGATTGAACAGTTAACAAATGATGCTGCCGAGCGTCAAGACAACCCGCGTAAGTGGCCGACTAGTGCTGACACTAGCAGCAGGTGTAGTATGTGGCTTCCTGTCTGCTTGTCTCTTCATCAGCGCCAACCGGGATGTACCAAACGTTCTTCACTGGTTCCCTGGTCGCTCTTATTATGATCCTCACCATTATTCGCATCTCGAACATGAGGTAGGTCTTATCTTTTGTGTATGTTTAGTATCATATTTGTGCGATTAGAGATATTATGTTTTATTTTTGTCACTTTTGATTATGAAACTGTGCACATATGAATATATAAATACGATTGACTTGATAGTTGTAATAAAAAATCAAGTAAATGAAAACTTGAAAGATTTTTTTAAGATTTATGACTTATAGTAACATTTAACTTGAGAATTTTTGTTTTTAAATAAACAGTAGAAAGTGCTCCATGATACACGAATTAATACATCGAATAAAATATTCCAATTTATTATCACCTTGTGATATTTTTTTTTTTTTTTTTANATAAACATGATAAATATGCAAACTATGATTGTCAAGCAATTAATAAATGAGCTCTTCTGGAGTTGCCTTGTGATATTTTTTTTTTTTTTTTTTAACAAAGTCGGGGCCATCAGTCGAAGTTGTATTTCATGGAGAAGATGAGGATTTTCACAAAAATGAAGATCTCGTAGCTCGTGAATTGGCTCAAAAAGTGCGCGTTCTGTGCTGGGTGATGACGAATCCAAAGAATCATCAAAAAAAAGCGAGACACGTTAAGTCTACTTGGGGAAAGAGATGCAACATTTTGCTGTTCATGAGTTCTCAGGAAGGTAAGGCTTTTTTTTTCAATATCTAATGGCTAAAGTTCTTAGTATGTTGGCATTGCTGAATATTCATTAGCTGATTAAGTTTTGACTTTGATTTATACTTGAGTACATATAGATTTTAATCTAAGATGCATTTGTTGCTTAAGAAATGCGAGATCGGTTAGTTATGAACTTCAGGAAATGCCGTATGAAATTCACGTGAGAGATAAAGCACTCGAATTAGGATACCGAGAAATGACTTTTGTAGAAGTAACTTTGAAAAACTAAGTAATTGAAGCCCGTCAATTGTAGTTTACCTTCGCTACGGTCGTACTGAAAAAAAAGATTGAACAAAGAGATTTACGTCAGTCAAGCGTTGAGCGACTACAGTGACAATGTAATGATGTGAGTAATCAGTCACGCATTGATTTATGGAATTTTTTTTCCTATTCAACGAATTATTCGTAATTGTCAATAATTCGCCATCAAATTGTTTTCCGCGTGCTTATACGAGATGCAATGTTTTTTTTTCCAAACCTTTAAAGAATTCTTATTATATTTGTTTATTCGTGTTTTTGTTCATTTACTGAACAATTTTTTTTACATGTGAAAATTGTCAGACCCAAACTGCTAGAGATACTTTTTTTTCTCATTCCTTTGAAATCTACTTATGTTATTAACTCATCGTTACAAAATATGCAAGCGCTCGAAAGGAAAAAAAAAAAAAAAATGAAGGTTACAGTGTTTTCCTTGTCAAGTCAAAGAGTTAGAGTATGATACGGCAAATCGACATCCTTGAAAAATTGGTAAAAAATTTTATATCATATTGACGTTGTGTATTTGTATTATTTTTCTATAGATCCTAGTCTCCCAACCATTGCACTGCCAGTAGAGGAGGGTAGAAATAATCTCTGGGCAAAAACCAAAGAAGCATTTAGATATATATATGAAAAATACAGAGATCAAGCTGATTGGTTCCTAAAAGCAGATGATGATACGTACGTATTAATAGCATTCAAATCAAATAACCCCCTCTCACTTGAGAACATATTTAAAAATGACTCATCAAATAGCAAACAATAAGCTACAATTATTAAATAATCGAATTGTTTTGCTGTCAAGTCAATATTAAGTCTGTGATAACGTGCTGAGATAAAAGTGGATTAACAAGCTTTATCTCGGCACTCGAGAAAATAAGATTACACATGCTTTCACTATATTTACACTTGATTTTCGAGATTACCCCACTTGAACTTTTTTATTTTTTTATTTTTTTTTTTTATCAATTTTATGTAGCTAAGTCATCAAGATTAATTACGTAATCTTTTCGAGATCAGAAAATCATAATAGGAGTTAAACGATATAGTTAATAGGAAAGTACAAGTGCACCATGCACGATTTCTGTTGTAGCTACGTGGTAGTAGAAAATCTGCGCTACATGCTGTCCCCGTACTCATCCTTGGAGCCACTGTACTTTGGCTGCAGGTTCAAGCCCTTTGTAAAACAAGGCTACATGAGCGGTGGGGCAGGCTATGTGCTGAGCCGAGTTGGTTTGGATAAGTTGGTGCTCGAGGCTTTGCCAAACGGGACCCTGTGTAGGCAGGACAACGCTGGTGCCGAGGACGTCGAGATGGGAAAGTGCCTGGAGAAGGTAGGCGTTAGGGCAATGGACACGCGTGATCCACACGGCCGGGGACGCTTTTTCCCTTTTGTACCTGAGCACCATCTTATACCTGATCACACGAACAAGGACTTTTGGTATTGGAAGTACATATATTACGAGTCCAAAGATGGACTCGACTGTTGCTCCGATAGTGCAGTGTCCTTTCACTACGTAAGTCCAAATATGATGTACGTGCTGGAATACCTGATTTATCACCTCAGACCGTATGGCATCAGTCATACGGTTCACGAGGAACCCCAGGCTGCCCAGACGCTCTCCAAGACTAGTGAGCCTGTTAGCACGTAGTCAAAGTTTCAACGCAGTCTAGTCACATGTGATTAATTTATTCAATACTTTTTAGTACGTGAATAGACGTGAAACGTTTTTTCTTGGTTGGTATGATTTTTTTGTGTGTAAAATTACGCAGAGATTTTTTTACCCTAAAATAAGGGTAAAGTTCTACATTGTAAAACCTCTTATCTAAGAGGGCTAAAAAAACACGATAACGATAAGAGTATGGCTTTGTTGATAATACTCTTACATACCGGTTTTTATTACTGTAACTGTTTGATAAGAATAATGTTTTATTCTTTTTAATACTTTACTTATTGCAGTTAGTTGTAGACGCCGATAATGATGACACGAAAATATGTTTTGATGACTATTCGAGTTAAATTCAGGGAAACAATAAAATTCCTAATATATTTACATACATTTTTCGTGAAGTAGTATATTACGTCATTAGGGTGCAAAATATGAATTTGAGTACCTACTGTGTTTGTACGTTTGTGCCCGAGTCATGCATATTATTTTTCTTACTAAGGGTCAAAAGTAAAATTTTGTGCCCGTAAAAAAGTACTTTTCCGCACTCGGGTGGTTTTGGGAGGCTGGTGCTTCCTCGGGCGAAAAAACAGTTTTCCGGAACTCGTTCGAAAAGTCTCCTTTACGAACCTCGTTACGTCCCTCGCCTTCGGCTCGGGCCGCAAACCTCTCGGTTCGCAAATAGAGACTTTTCAAACTCGTAGGAAAACTACTATTACTGCTCGTGAGCGCAAAGTGCGGTCATAGAACGAAAAGCAGCAGTTACACTTAGGTAAGAAAAATGACATTTTCTACTTCGGGAGTTTTTTTTTTCGTTATCTTTGGACGTTTAATGCACTTTCAGTATGAAAAACCCTTAAAATTCAATTTATTGAAAATGTATTTATTAGCAGTGCCAAAATAACTGCGTCTAGTCTCTGCAGCAACTCTGTGTCATTGAATCATGATTTACAATTGTGCGACAAGAGAGCGTAAATTTAATCACATGCTATGCGCCAAAAGAGTCTAATTACACAACAAATGTTAAGTCAACTCGCGGAATTTTGTACCATTTATTTATTAGAACCTAACATGATCTACTGGTTATGAAACAAGATTTTACTCGCACAAATATTTAATGCAAATAATTATGTGTCAATTTAAGGATTGTCAGCTTTACAAATTATTTGATTGAGTTCAGAATGACACCTGCATTACGGCGTTGCATGGAAAATATTCTAAGAATCTAGAAGGGATTACTTAATGTATAGGTATATTTTTTTACGTATTACATTTTTGGCATTTAGTCATACTTGGGAAATCAAATACTTTACGTCACAGTACTGTCGATCATTGAGTCGATAAATAATCAGTAAAACTTTTTATTAATTTGTAAGAAATGTTAAAAACAATTTATTTGCAATGACTTATTTACAATAAATTGCCAAAATATGATTTCTAAAATATTGTAAAGAAAAAAATTAAGCATAATACGTTTGAAAAAAAATCTGTATATATTGTATCATCATCTCAAAAACCTTTTACCCATTTTACAAATAACATAGACTGGAATCCAAGTCCGTCTCTATCGTCCATCTTATATGGTCAAATTCATATCTTTTAATTACATTTTTAAAACAAAAAGAAATTATTCTTAAAAAGAATAAAAAATTTTTGATACTTAAATGATTATATGTATGTTATGGTATAACATAAAAATGTAAATATTAAAATTTTTACAAGCACAGTACTAACATTTGATTGATAATTAAAAAAAAATATGAACGATATTCATAAGCAAATATGATTTTTATTTCGCTATATTTGTAACTACTGTACATAAACATGGAGCGGCGCTAACTAGTTAAAGCTAACTTGCACGTAACACTTCTAATCTGATTGTTTAGAGTGAAACTGGTATATCTTTTTCCATGACGCAAGTGGGTCTAGATATTATTTCGTTCAACAATTGCCATGTTATAAAGGCCAAAACTTACATTTGACAAATTATTGACTCAAAAATTTAAACAAAATTTATTGCACAATGATGAAGGTTTTTCAAAAACTAATTATCACGGAGTGATAAAAAAAGTGATATAATGAACTTGTTTGTAAATGAAAGAATAAATCTCATTTCCGGGATTTTTTTTATACATTAAGAAAGAAAGTTGGACATACTAGTCAGGCGCGTGATTTATCTTGCGATGGTAAACCAAAATAAGTAAAACAGTACGCGTGTATAAAAAAAAAAAAAAACAATACGTAATGACTACGTACTTTGTATGACGAAGAACGGGTTGGTATAGCGCAGTATTTAATATATGAGTAATGAGTGATATTTATGAATTGCTATACGTATGAATTTTGCATTTAATCACTTTTATATCGTTAGTTTGCTTACACAAAAATCTTTTACCAAACACTGCTGTATGATAAGTAAATGCGTATTTGTTTATTATTCATGTACAAGGGCTAACACGGGTATTTTGTTCGAAATTTTACCAAATTTTAATATGCATTGTTGACGCATTATTTCATTTTGTCTATACTTGGTGTATAAAAAATCATATCAGTAAAACAATTTTAGCATAGAAACTTTAAAAACACCAGTGTTAGTGCCTTACAACGACAATTTACGATTGATTTTAATAATTTCATTGATTTATACGTAAAATATGATTCTCAGTAGAACGAAGAGGAAAAACACAGCGATTACGTTGGATTTGATGGTTTAAACAAAAAAAAAAAAAAAAAAAGAATTTGTAATTTTTGCTTTTGGAAGTGAAAAAAAGGAGGAAAAGTTTTGAAGGATTGGAAATTTTAAAAGTAATTGTAAAAATGAAAAGTAAAAATAATAAAGAACACAATTTCAATGCAGAATCAGGTATATAATTATGTATACACATAAAACTGTATTTTTTTTTTGTAATATTATAATAATAGTAATAATAATCCCAGTAATGACGTTACTACCCAAGTAATAAATACTGTAAATACAGAGTTTTTAGTGTGGGCGTTGCTTATTTTCTTGCATGTATAAGTAAAATTAATCATATTAATTAAAGGAGAAGAGGATATTAGGATTACTATGTACAAGACATTATACTTTGTACTAATGTGACTGATGGGCGATTTTTTTTGGTTCATCGTCGCATCAGTCACGCCCCATGTTTCGATCTTTGTCTCTTTTTCTTAGTTACATTTTGTTCAATCCAAAGCGCAGGGTAAATATTTGTTAAAAAGGATTCTGCCTTAAAAGAAGAACACAAGGAAACTTATGGGGAAGGAAAACATTTTTCATTAATTTTTCCTCTCCTTTCGTTTTCTCGCTCGCTTTATCTATCGCTAATATTTTGTTCATAATAATTACCTATTATTTGAGGTGTTGTTCATTCTTTTTAATTACAAAACATCTTGACCTTTTCTTATGGAAAAACAATATTTTACACTATATAATTTTTGTATCAATTTACATGTACAGCAGTTCGCTTTTCTGTCAGATCCAAGTGCAGAATTTCATTTTTTTTTCCTTCTCGCAAAACAAGAAAAATTTTTAAAAATGTACGATCGCTTATCTTTTTTCTTCTAGGGTCTGAAAAATTTGACAACAGTGTAATGCATGAGTTTCCATAATAATAATTCACAAGTCTTGCATTTTTATTGAATTTTTAGCGCTTAAAGGACTGTACGAAGCTCAACATATATGGTAATGAGATATAATTTAAAAAATTTTCTTACCAAAAAAAATAAGGAATAACGGAAATCGGGGATAAAATTAAACTAATTGATCGTGGTTACAATCGTTTCTTAACCTTTTTTTTCTGCTCAATAAGTATATAAGAAAGGGCAATAAGAGAGTGAGAAAGATGACATCTCTTACAATATCTTTCTATAAAATTAAAAAACAACGTAATATCATTTTTTTTGTTTTATATTACTTCATCGCTATTAATAATAAAAGCTTTGTACAAAAACTTGATATACAATTAAAACATTTGGATACACAACTGTAAATTTTTTCTGATTTGTTTCTTAATTAATTACCTTAGCTTCTCATCATCATCATCATTATCATTATCACCGTCACCATCATCACCGTCATCATCATCATCATCATCATCACCATCATCATCATAATTATCATCATCGTCATCGTCGTCTCATAATATATATCATAAGCATCATTATCATCATAATTACCACCACCAGTGACATCATATTGTCTTCATCATAATCGTCATTACTATTATCGTTATAATCGTCATTATTATTATCATTATTATTATTATTACTATTATTATTATTATTATTATTACTATTATTATTATTATTATTATTATTATTATTAATATTATTATTATTGTTATTATTTATCCTTTTAAAATTGAACTATCTAACAACACAAAGACCGCAAATAAAAATGGATTTATTTGCTCTTTCGCGTCTTTAATGTTTTTATTTTTTTTTCACGCCTTAATTTACTTGTTTGCTTTGTTCATTTGCGCACGATCTTTTATTAGGTAATTGGAAATACATGCGCATACTTTATAACTTTAATAATTACGCACATATCTCTTTGCTAGTCATTTTATTCATCCTTATTTTTGCATTTTTTTGATATTTTTGTTTGTTTGTTGGTTTGTATTTAAAAAATTTTTTTAAAGTTTTATAACCAAGTACCTTTTTATTTTCAAAAACTTGTTTATTCTATTCACTTTTTGTTAATCGTTTATGTAATTAATTAATGATAATAATTTTTTTCATTTTTATTATTATATCTCGACATGTACTCGAGATTGGTCTGTTATAATGCATTTAATATTGCCTAAGAACACAAATTATAATTTTTTTCTCTATACCTTTTTTTCTACATTATATGCATCCATTAGAAAAAGTGTAAAGAGAACTTGTGCTTTAATCTTTTCCTTTGTCCTATGTACTTTATGCATATAGTTTAACTATTATTATACGTTACTAAGCGACGCGATTTGTTCGCGAGTTGTTCACTTAGAGTAGATATTTAAATCAGAATGCTGACAACAAAAAACGTCACAGGAGCTGTGTTGAAAAACGTTTAGCACCTGTTTTTTTGTCAAATCACAAAAAATAAAAGTTTTAAAATGCGTAGATCCATCCTTTTTTAAATGAGGATATAGCTAGAATAAAAAGTACGATTAATTGATAATTTCATTTTAATTTCGCAATATTTTATAAAAACAAAAAAATCGAAGAGCATCGAAAAAACATCGATGAAAATTGTTTAATATTATCGGTATTCTCGATTGAATCATCAATTCAATCACGTCGCTTTTATACGTGCAAACGTCGGACATCTGATTTCGTCACTTGGTGAGATTAATACATAGTTTTTTTTTTTTTTTTTTTTTTTTTTTTTTTCCGTGCCCACACTTTTGTCAGCGTACATCGCGATACCGTTGTTAATTAAAAACAGCTGCATAATATTGGCAAATTCAAGAGAATAAATAGATTTTTTTCTTAAATACTATATCACAATAAATCGACCGAAAATTTAACTTATTACGATAATGATTATTAAAATTAAAAAATTAAAATATTTTCTATTAAAATACAACAAAGTATTAAATTTTTCGACTACATATTTATATTAGCAGCAGATAAATGATGATGCAATAAAAAAATGAAAAAAAATTTGTATAAAATTGGTACTTTCAATAGCAGCTCACAAATTAATTTGAACTATTTTTATATCTTAAAAATTAGGAGCCAGATACTTCATAAAAAAAAAAAAAAATACACATTCGCATTGGTACTACTTATACTAATATTCAAATCAAAGTTCATTATTCGGATGATTTTCTAGTGCCAAGATTATCCCCGTCCCTCTTTTTTCTACTATTTACACATTAGTCTAGAACGAAATGCTGTTAAGTACGATTGAAATAACGATTAATTAACAGCAAGCTTATCCCGAACATTGTCAACTTGATAAAAAGAAAGGAAGAAAACATATAGTTTTTCGTTTTTTCAAAACAATAATAGCTCAAAAATACGGGCAGGAATGGCTGATTTACTCTCTTCTTTTTCTCTCGGGCACGCGCGCGCTTGTCGTGACGAAGGACAGTGGCCGTCGTTTGCCTACACCTTCGTCATCAATCTCATCGCTCGTCGTTACTTTACATAATCTCTACAATATTTAATTCATAGGTTACGGTAATGAGAGGCATCATCGGGGTGAAAACCGACGAGAGCCGCTTTCGCGTTGATGCTCTCACATATGATACGGCGATAATGATGAGTGCGCTAGAAAGTTGCAGTAATAAAAGTAGCTGCCCCGCGCTTGGAGATAATAGGGAAGTAATTTTTGTTATTGGGAAGGAGCAAGAATTAGAAGAAGACATGATGTGGTGGTGGTGGTTGTGGTGGTTGCGACGTCGTGGTGTGGGTCAGACGAGGGCCGCTGTCGCGTGATACAGCTGCATGAGCGCCTGTATGTGTACCGGCAGGCAGGACAATCGGTCCTTCGTATTGGCATCTACCGAGAGCCAAGATAACGCATTGTAGCCCTCCAGTACGTATCTGCGGAAGAAAACAAAAACGTGTGTAAACGTCCGCTAGTTGCTTATTGAAATTCAATCGTTCAATGATAGTGATAATATTAATAATAATCCTCACCTCAGCACGTCAGTGGTAAAGTGGGAGTCGAGGCCGTGTACGGTAACGGCGCTCTGCTGTTGCAGCAATTCGTCGCTGTTCTGCTGGACCGCGGGGCTGTGCAGGTGCAGGGCGTTCTTAAGGAAGACCGGACAGACACCCTCGAGGTGGGGACACGCTGCCCAGAACCACGAGGGCATACGGCCCGTCGGGGCTGTCGAGACGAGATATCCCAAAGCCAGAGGCTGCTGTAGCAGAGGGCCAACTTCTTCCGCCTGATCCGCTCCGTTAGCCTACAAACACGGGCAGCACTCGTTGCAGAACATCCAAATCAAAGTACCATCAACGGGACAAAATGGTTGCGTATACTCACCCTGGGCGTGTTACTGCAGGGGAAGGGACTATCGCTGACACCGTCGTGATTGCCGAGTCCGGAGCCGGGGCCATCACCTCCCAGAGGCGAGCCTTCAGGCCTACGTGGACTCCCGCTCGGGCTCTGTCCACCCCCAGCGCCCGGCTCCGGCCATACACCAGAGAATATGTCGTTGAAGTCCGTCATACCTTCCATGCCTTCGGGCAGGTCGTCGTGTAGCGCGGAAAAGAGCTCATCGTCGCCCAGATCAGGCTCGTTGATCTGTTGCTCGTTGAAGGCAGTCTGTGACGACTAGGAGCGCGAGATACCAAATGATTACTCATTGCCGGCCACGTTAATCCACACTCGGCTGGTTATCGATGTCAACTCGTGTGTGTACATTACCTGCGTGGTGGCCGAGGTGGGGAAGACAAGGATGTGGGTACAGGTGACGTCCTGAGGCGTCGACAGTTGGCAATTGACCGAGGCTTGGCTGAAGCGCTCGTCGGGCGCAAAATGATCGGCCATTAGTCGGAGCGTACTGTCGGGCTCAAGGGAAACCAAGCAAGCGCTGAGCACGCAGGGCGCTGCCGTTGGATAGAGCAAATTGCACTGGCCGCAGATGTCTTTCAGATGCTTCGATGCCTTCTGAAGGGCTTTTCGGGACAGCAACCAGCTCCAGCCTTTCAGCTCACCGTGACCGATGCGACCGACTCGGCCTACTACTAGCCTCCATGGCTGTACCTGAAGAAACAAAAACAAAGGATTAAAAAATTCAAAATCAGTACTCCAACGGGAAAAGGGAACAATTGAGCCGATCTTGTGTGCAACAAACATCAATCTGTGTATGTATGTGCGAATTTGGAAACTGTTTGTTTTTACTCTATACATACACTTACACTTACCCCTTGAGACATGATCCCGAGTATAAAATCCATGAGCTTCTGCAAGCCGGCACGACGGGCCGACGCTCGCTTCCGTCTTTTCCTGTTCGGGATGTCGATGTTTATAGTCGCAGTTTCAAATATTTCGCCTCTGTCGTCTGTAGCAACAGCCAACAGCCAGGACTGATCTTCGCTCAGACAGTAGCTCAAATATAGAACCGCACACTCTTCGGGTCCCTGGGTGCCAAACGAGTCCGGGGCTTCGCTCTTGCAGTGCAACGGCGCCAATACGTAGGCGGGCGCATACAGGCGTATCGGTGCTCGGTTGCGTTCCTGATGTGCAGGTGCAAGCAGAATGTTAGCATGCGACTGCAAAATCCACCACAGCAGCCCACAGTACAACCGGGGCATTAATAGACACTTTGCATGTATTTTGATTTCTCATATAATCAATTAATCGATGAAGTTACTAAAAGGTTTTTTTTTTTTTTTTGTTTTTTTTCGAGTTACAAATTATCTTGGAGTTAAAAAAAGTTTGTAAAATAACACAGCATTTTCTCAACATGTAGTAGGTGTAAGCAATGAGTACAAACTCACATCTTTGTTCTTGAGGAAGAGATCGGCAGCCGCTGCAGTGCCGAAGCCCGTGAGGCTCCTGATAATCGAATTGTGCGACAGAATCCTACGTCCTTGTAGAAACACGTTGAGAGCCAGTGCTCTCATTTCGTCCTGGATTTTTCGCCTCTCTCGCACGCGTCCCAACTCCATTATACTCTCCAACGATATGAGCTGACGAACACGAATGGACGCGCAATTATTTCTCGCTCCAAGTAACCCCCGAGTTTTCCCAGGCGTAGACTCACCTGTACGTTCACGTTGGCCCTGATGCTCTCGGGCATGCTGTTGACGGCGGCAGCGAAGGCGCGCAGTAGCGCGAGTATGGCCAGTCTACGGCGATCAGGACAGTCGGCACCGTTGAGCGAAAACGGCTCCACCAGATAGACGACCACCGACGGCAGCTCGAGTTCCTCGTCGTCGGGACCAACTGCCGCTGCCTGTTGCTGGCTTCCACCTGACATCGAACCCTGATTACCGCCACCCGCGTTGGCCTGTGATATCGGGTTCACCGTGTTACCGGCCACGCCCGAGTTAACGCTCGGCGTAGCGTTCGAAGGAGTTTCGCTACGCGCGTTATCACCTTCTGAAAGTACGACCAAATGAGAGTTAGTACTTTGCCTGCCGGCTGTGAAAAAAAACGTAAGTAGAAGAGGGTTCATTACGGTGTTGACCGTCGGCCGGATCGTGCTTGATGGACACACCATCCGGAGTAGGGGGCATCGCGTCTGACGCGTTGCTACCCGGGTGGTTGTGTTTGCTGCTCGTCATGGTCGCGTCGCCACTCTCAAACAAACTTCGATCCTGCAACACTTGGGTGAGGTAGGGCGCTAACCGGTTGTTGCACACCTGCGCGTACAACTTGAGACACTCGCCGATTTGATTCTCTCCGAGTATTTTGAACCACTCGTCGATCGGTTGCTGCTGCTGCTGCTGCTGTTGCTGTTTACTATTGTTGTTGTTATTGTTGTTTCCAGCGTTGGTGATGAAGAGCTTTTGGGCCGTGGATTTGCCGACGCGTATGATACCATCGCGTACCATCTTGCTGATGGGCGTGTGCTTGCCCAGTCGACAGATCTCGTACGTCGTGGATAGTTCACGGAAGAACGATCGGACCTTTCCTACGACGCAGTCATTGTCGGGTGCGAGAATAACGTAGGCGACGTCCCGTGAGCCGGCATACGGCTCGAGCAGCAGTTTTTCCCAGTAATTGAGGGCGTAAGGCGACAACGAGAGCCAGTCCTTGTCGTAGCCGACGACGAGTGCGGGCACGGGCTGGGGCTCGCAGAGATCCTTGGTGTCACGACTCGCGAGTTTGTGAAAACCGCGCCACGTGAGTATCTGCACGGTGTAGGGTGCGTCCCACATTCGCGTGTTTTTCTTTTGCTGGATGGCCTCTTGCAGGAGAGGCAGCAGCGATTTCATGACGCGCACGATGTCGCCGTTGCACTGGGGACCCTTGGCTCGTAAAAACGGCCAGCGGTGTACGCTGCTCACGCGTTGGCTGCGATCCACCGGAGAACCTACGATGTGAAATGAAAATTAAGTTCATTTTCTCATGATAACTAGCCACATGGGTGTGTCATTAATGATGTTTTACCGTCGAGTTTGCCTTGGTCAAGGGCAGCCAGGGACAACTCGTTACCATCGCTAAACTCTAGTGCGTTGACGGTCAGAGAGTTGGATTTGCTGCGATTCACGGCGTAAAGCCGGGCAGCTCTGTACAGACTACTCGCCGAGCTCTGAACGATCAAACACTGCTCCCGCAGAAGCTCGAGCACGCTCGGCGGCAGTCCGTCGATCGTCTCGACGTTGCCGCTCTTCTTCGTGTCTATGCAAGCGATGGCGGCAAGGCTTGACTTTTTCTTTTCCGCGGGATCCTCAGCCACGCCCGTTATCTCTTGCTCGTCCTCATAGAACAAGCCGGCCTTGTGCGCTAGCCGGCGATTTACCACCGCGCTGAAGCCGCAGTTGCACTTTATTTGATCATCGTCCGACTGAAAACATTTGACAGTTGATTAGAAGTTTTTTTATCTTTCCCCCGTATTTTTGTCTTCGAGTATGAATTGTGATTTCGAGGTCACGTACCTGGAAGACATTGTTACCGTTGGCCCACGAGCCAGTCAGATAAGTGCCTGCGTCGGCGCCCTTGATATTACCAACGACCTTTGCCCCGGCGTTACACACGCACAGACCGCAACTGTCGAAGTTGTGGTCGCGGAATATGTTGAGCGCGGTGTCGCCCAAAAGTATGTTTACAACCAGCGAGTTGGACTCGGGTGCGCGAAGCGGCCCGGGCGTCTCGGGCTCGATACTGTTCAGGTTCTTGTTGAGGTACGACGAGGTGGTGGAGGTTGCTGGCGAGGGATTGTCGTAGGGTGGTGGGGGCGGGCGCCCCGGCATCTGCGGCGACGGCCGGTGGTACGGCGGCGTCGCGCCCAGCATCTGAGTTGCCGGACTCGAAGGAAGAAGTTGTTGCTGCTGCTGCTGCTGGTGATGATGGTGGTGCTGCTGTTGCTGTTGTTGAAGCATTTGCTGGTGGAACTGATGCTGCTGCTGTGGCGTCATGTGCTGATGCTGCTGTTGCATGTGTTGTTGCTGCTGCTGCTGTTGTTGTTGTTGTTGTTGCTGTTGGTGCTGCTGCTGCGGCTGCTGCTGGTGTTGCTGAACGGAGTTTGATCGAGTCGATTGCACGGACTTTTCTTGGCTACTTGAAATTTCAGAACTTTTAATAATACGATTAAACTTGAAATTTAATCGATGAAATTTGTTTTGCAATTGAAAATCTTCGAAAATAGCTCATAGAAATGACAAAAGTATAAATACAGTTGTAACAGCTTTAAGAATGGTTTGTCAAAAAAAATAATAAATAAATAAAGTGATTCTCTCTTCGACCGACCTCTGATTGGAATTGGCGTTGTTGCACTGCCAAGACGTCCTGTAGACGCAGTGAGGGGGTAGGATTACAGGAGGCAAGCACTGGCTGGGTAAATTGGTGAGCGGCGCGTACTTGGACGAGCCGACGAGTTTGCACATCGTGGGTGGCCTGAACACGTACGACCAGTCCTCGATTGGCTCCTCGGGCGGCGAGCCCATGTTCGGGTAAATGTCGGGCTGTTGTCGATGCCGGGGCGTGCCCCCATTGCCGTACTCCATGAGATCGATACCACCTGGACTCGGATCGTTGATTATCTGGCCGGGTGATAGGTTGTCCAACGAAGGCGGGGTCGGATACATCTTTGACAACTCGTCCTGACGCGGTGGCGTTCGATTCGTCACACCTCCGCGCACGCACGACGCGGATGGTGGGGTCGAGGACGGCGGAGTCGAGGACGAGGTGCAGACGAAGGCACTCTTCGTGCTCGCGCTGCTACTCGTTATAGTGGTGCTGTTGACGGTCATACTGTTGCACGAGCTCGCGTTCGTACTGATGATGCTCGTCGAGTTGGCGTCAATTAACCGGGTACTGCCGCCGTCCGCGCCATCGTGAGCTACACCCCCGCCCGACTTGTTCGAGTCTGGCGGCGTTTGCACCTGTAGCTGATTAAGATTCTGCAACGAAAGTTTTGCATTACATCCTTACGGTTTATTACCTCAACTCTGTTGAGAAAAAAAAAAAAAAAAAAAAAAAAAAAAAAAAAAAAAAAATAGTCTTACAGTTTCGTCGCTGGAGTTGTCAGCGTCGGAATTATCGAATATCTGGTCCAAGTCTTTGTACGATGCTTGAAGGCCTTCGCTGGTGAATAGAGAGCTTGGCTTGGACTCGTCTCGTTGTTTTTTAAGTGCGTCGACGCCAGCGCCGTTCTCCTCTCCGGTCGCGTCGAATTCATACGGATCCGGCCTCCCGCATTCCCCCTGGAAAAAAGCAACGCATAGATCAAACAATCATACCTCGAAAACGCGTCAACTCGAGGAGTTAAACATCAAAAGACTAACGGGCGTCGTTCCGGGCTCCTGCTTGATCTCAATTCGGGACATTGGGTTCTGGGCAGAGGCTAGTGGCGAAGCCACGTGTCCGAGCTCGGCCTGGCCGTTGGCGCAGCTCGACGACAGTGACGACGCCAGTGACAGCGACGACGACAACGAGAGCGACGACGACGTCGGCATCGTCGCTGCTGATATCGTCGGGGGATAGAGATTGGCGTTGCTCAGTACTCGCGGATGGGGTACCGGCAAAGCAGCCTTTAGCCGTTTCACCGGGTGATTCATCCATGCCTCCTGGGTCGAGTAGTCGTAGAGGTAAGGCAGCGAGAGCAGCTCGTCCACCACCAGGGCCTCCTCGTAATCTCGTGAGGTAAGCAGCGGTCGCTTGAGAGTCGGTGGGGCAGGTATTAGAGACTGGATTCCATGCTGCTGCTGCTGCTGCTGCTGATGTTGCTGCTGTTGCTGGTGGTGCTGCTGTTGATGCAGCGACGCGGCCGCTGGGCTTGCCACCACCTGGGCGTTAGCCGACTTTGGTCCCTACGACGAATTAAATTATCAATATTACTGTTATTTTTCAATGAGATTTTGTTTCTTTGGTAAATCTTTGATGTCTGCTAAAATGAGTGACGCATGACTCGAAACGAAGTTTTATTCTCAAAGTCACATGTATCTATGGATATCATTAAAATTAAAAAAAAAAAGGCAATAAATAAAATTACCTGCAGCGGCGTGAGGGGTGGTTGGGCGCTGCTGGTGCTGGGCGGTTGGCTGGTAGATTGCGTCACCTGGGGACTGAGAAATCCAGCCGCCGGCGCTGCCGAGGACGGCTGTTGGAGCTGCAGGCTGCCATCGGTCGGCGGTATACTGCTCGGGGGCTCCGAATGCGGAGTTGGCATGGGCGAGGGTGCAGGCGAGGCTGGCGAGCCCACCGACGGTACCGCACCCCCGGACAAGCTATTGTTGTTGCACTCGTTACCCGGGCGGGAGTACGAGGGTGGCCCACCCTCCTGGGGTGTCTTTGGCCCGTCCGTTCGACTCGTTGGTCCTCTGCGAATACAGAAATTGGGAAAGATTTATTTTGTGAATCTTTTGCTGGTGTTGTTCTTATTGTTGATTGCTTGACAGATGCGATTGTACTGTGTATTGTAGGAATAATGGCACCCTATGGTTTCGAAAAAACTGTTCCAAGTGGACAATTGGATAAGTACTATCAAAGTTCTTTTGATACAGTATCAAAAGGTAGAAGTCAAGAACTGAACTAAAAAAAATTTGTTTGGTTTTTATGTTATCTTTTTACACTACAGACAGTACAATCACATCGGTAACATCGATTTTGCTGTTTGGATGAAAAATGCGTGGATAAAAGCTTAACTTACAATCTAACTTTTTATGATATGATATGGTATGTTACAATTTTCAAGCGTATAAGTATGTAATATTGCATGATTATTATTTTTATTTATCTCACGAACTTTCATAATCTGTAAACTACGGTGTAAAATTAATGTTTTTAAAATATCAATAAAAGTAAATTTTACATTTCCCTTATAGTAACATAAAAACTGAATTAGCAATCGACACCTCTAACGTTGCATACGTACCCGTGTTGTCCAGTACTCAATTTAAAAAAAAAACTTGAATTTTACAGAGTAGTTCGAGCTCAATGAAGGCGCAATCGCATGCAGAATAAAATTCAATGGCAACCTCAGACCAGAACACATAATAAATAGTCTACCATAAACCACTACGCTACAATTAGTGAAAAAATAAAAAATAACTTTTGTTACATAAACCAAAAACACAACATGCAACTGTAAAGTAACAATTACTTGATTTTGTTTAACCTCGAGATTAATATACAATTGTTGATTATTAGATTTCAATTGTCAATCATTACCAAATGACCAACATTAAATGTTAAAAAAAAAGAAAAAAAAATTCACACATGAGAGTTTGATATTAGCGTCGATTATATATACATAAAATGATAAACAGACGATGGTTAGACATGACACTTTTTTAATTTTTTAATCCAACCAGTATTATACAATCGATTTATGTACACATGTATGCACATGATCATGTGTGCGGGTGATATGCATTCGGATCGGATACGGTTTTTTTTTTTTTTTTGTATGAAAGCGCGCCGTGCTCAAACAAAAAAAAGGCCTTTCTGTTTTCTTTTCCTTGGTGAGATGTGTATAAGCAGAGATGATTGCCAATTAAAAGTGCTGCTTTTTCGACTTGTAATTTTTATTTTTATTTTTCAAAGCAATGATTTGTTACTCGTTTTCTCGGTTCAAGCAAAGAAAAGGAAGAAAATGCACACCAAGTGCACACTCGTTTCCCTGCAAGTCAAAGTGTTTTTTTTTAATCATTCATTTGAAATTCCTGTGAATGTTAATTAGCTGATGCCACTGTTACAATCTGCCAGCAAGTACGTAATGTAACAAAAAAAAAAAAAAAAGGTTCGTGAAAGCGCCCATCAAAGACCATTTCATCACTCGTGTGGATAACAATCTGCCAAAATCTCGTTCAATCGAAACACTTTACGTATAAAAGAGCAACGAAATGATCCCCAATAACGCCAAGCCTTTCGGTATGTATGTATACATAGGAAAATGACAGTAGAATGACAAAAAAGAAGGACGAGAGATGTTATAGCTGATACTGGTGTATCGATCGTTTAAAGAGCCTGGGCAGAGGCGTTACCCACCTTGGGGCACTATTGGGAGGAAGGTTTGGACAATTGGAGCTGGTAGTCGCAACAACAACAGCACCAGCAGTCGTCGTCGTCGTCATCGTCGTTGTACTCGTCGTCGTATTCGTCGTAGCACCAGCAGCCTTGGCTCGCATAGCAGCAGCAGCAGTGGAGCTAGCAGTTCTCGGAATAGCATCCCAGTGCTGGATTTGCCGACGGTGGAACGGCACCGTAGCTGTCCTCCTGCTTCCTCCTGACCTTTCGGATCTTTCCGACCTGCTGGTCGTGCTACCACTTCCTCCTCCTCCACCACCTCCAGCGCTACTAATATTATTGTTGCTACTGCCACTGCTACTGTTGCCCGATGATGTGGTGCTGCTGCTGTTACCAGCCGATGACGATGATGATGAAGAAGAAGAAGAAGAAGAAGATGACGAAGAAAAAGAGGACGAAGAAGAAGAAGAAGAAGTGGTCGTGGTGGTGGCGGTGGCTGGCGAAGAGGAGGATAAGGCTAGTTGCGTCGTCGACGAGGGAGCCGAGGGTATGGCGCTGTTGTTACCGGTGACACTATTGCTGCTGCTGCTACTGCTGCCACCGCCACCTTTCCAGCCTCCGGGAGCCGAGCACCTATAACCGATCTGCTTAATGTCCTCGTACCTCCGCTTCCGTCCACCTCCTCCTCCTCGTGCCCTTTAAAGAGTTAGTATTTTTCTTGGATTCTTGCTTTTTTTCTTTTTATTTTTATTATTTTTTTTTTTTTTCTTTACTCGTACGCTTCTTTTCACTTGTACACTTGAAATATTCACGCTCGGATTATCTTTTCAAACTCCTTTCTTGAACCGATGTATTTCATTTTGCTACTTAAAAATTGGTTTCGGGACAGGGTGAGTGGATACTGTTGTAGCGATCGATGCGAAATTTGGAAAATCACTACAACTACTTAAGTTTTACAAAAAAGTATTAACTATTTTAACACGACACACTGAGCTACGCACTTTGAAAATCAAACAGTCATCAGTCAAATTGTTTTTTTTGTACATAAATACGACGTTGTATGATGTTCTTCCTTTTTTTTTTTTTTTTTTTTTTGCTTTTACTTTATGTATATAGACAACCGATACTACAATAAATATACTACAGCACGCATGCAAACACGGATATTAAATTATTTGTTTGTTGTTTGTTACGTGTACCTATACTAAATGTCCATACGGTGTATTGGTATACAAATGCAAATACATTGAGACAATCTTTTTTTTTTCTTCCCTTTAATAAGTTAAATATGAGAGTAATACAGAATATACCTTTATAGGGTCGATAATAATTAACGTACATGGAAATACTATACTTGTACATAAGCATTTGTAAGCTGCATTCTATAGATATCCAACGAACCAAATGAAGATAATGATAGAACGAAGTATTTCTAATTAAAATGACAAAAAAGGTAAAAAAATTCAAAGAACTGCAATAAGTAGACGTGTTGTTGTCCCTGTTGTGCATGCCACTAGCAATTTTCTCCAACTACGCGTTTTCCCCGCAAAGGAGAGAGAGCTATTCAAGTTTATTTGGCTGGAATAAAAAGGTTTTTTTTTTTGCTACTGTTGTTTTCATTTGTAAACGTGCTTGTAAAATTTTTTTCCGATTCACTGACAGAAACAAAAAAATAATATATAATAATAGTAATAAATAAATTATCAGTCACAAAGGAGGTTCCGTCGGTTGAACTTCTAATGCCTCGGAACCACCGTATCGCACCAAATCAACTACTAATTCCAAAGAAATGCAAAACAACGAAACATGAAAATGAATAAACAAAAAAAAGAAAAAAAAGAAAAAAAGAAAAAGAGTCACGTTCGCAAACTCGGGGTCTGCAACCTCGTGCATACCAAAACGTATCTTATAACTATATAGAATACCTAAAAATGATAATAATGATAATAATAATAATAATAATAATAATAATAATAATAACAGCAACAGTGAACAAAAGTAAAAGTAAAAGATAGAGAGGACAGTATACAACAAGACCTATACAACGATTGGCCGGTGAAAGTGTCCGCACCATATGTACTTACTTGGACGAGCAGCAGCAGCAGCAGGAAGACTTGAGGGTAGGATCGACAAAGTTCCAACTGCCGAGTATATGCTCCGGTGGCTCGACCGTCGTCGTCGTGGTTGGCTTGTGATGCGGACTGACGACTGGTGTCCGAGCGCCAACGATGGACTCGGCCCAGACGCGCTCGGGCAGCTCGGTGTTGGGTCCCAGGTCGCGCTGCATCGACAACGGATGCTCGTAGCTCGCGGGACTCGTGGGCGGCGACAGAGGCAAGGTTATCTCGATGCAGGGGGCCGGCGGTGGTGTCGGGGACTGGTGCTGCATCGCCGGACTGCAATGCGGGCTGCTCGTCGTCGTCGTCGTTGTCGTCGTTGTCGTCGATCCCGTGGCCGTCGACGATGCCGTCACGGGATTCTCGTCCATGTCCGTGACGAGGACGTAGCAGGATGGGTAGCGCATCCGGACCCCTCCGACGAGGACCTCTACCAAAGCTGGTAGCCCGGGCTCGAGGCACGAGCTGTTTATCGGGTAAAAGTGCTTCCACTCGTCCAGCAATTGAGAGTCCAGGCGAGCCACTTGGCCCGTCAGCGTGCCCGCCAGGCCGTACGGAGCGAGGATCACTGCAGGTATCGAGGAAAACGAAATTTTTATCATTTGTCTGTGGTTACAAACATAAAGTATGGGGGTATCGATTGTTTGGAATTAAAATTCCTTGCACGGAACAACACTGTACAATGAGAAATTTTTTACTGAACAAAGTAAAGTTTGGTTCATTATTTCTAAGCCAAATGAAATATGTAATTTCAACTCTGCTGTGGTGTAATTGTAACTCACGTAGTGGAACATGTATAAAAAAAAAAAAAAAAAATTAAAAAAAGAAAAACAACAGTTACATATTACAAGTTGCACTGTTTCGATGGACTGTATGAATCCATCGGTACAAAAATACATAATTGAAACGGCTTGTCTTGCGAATACAACAGTAGAAAAATATAAAGAAAAACCATTTAAGTACAATCAATTACCAAAACGACCGGGGGGAGAAAATAAAAAAACTGGCAAACGATCTCAAAGAAAAAAAAAAAAACCCACTCACCTTTGACCGGCGACTGCGTTGTCTGGGTACGTTGCAAGCAAGCCCTCGTGAGATGCCTAACAGCCGGATGCTGCCTGACGTCGACGCTCGCGCACACCGTGCTCTCGCCGTGCACGAAAAACGCAAACGAGAACGACAGATGGCTACTGAAATGTTTCGACATTTTAAACATTTTACTTATACACACAACTATAGGTATATAAGAACAGGAGTGGAGGGGTGGGGAATAAGCAATGAAACCCACTTCGAGCATCGGTGCTTCTCGTAGCCATCGTACGGTTGAACGAACCACTTGCCGATCCGCACAAAGTCACGGGACAGCAAGCAACGCTCCATTAGATTGTGCAGCGCCTTGAACAGCAGTGACCTACACTCGTACGACAATCCGCTTTCCCAGGAGCCCTGCTCGCTCTCTGTAAGAAACAAAACAAATTAATACGAAAAAAAAAAAAAAAAAAAAAAACTAACGAACCATCATTTTTTTTTGTCCAGGCGCATTGTCACACATACCGATGCTGTTCTTTTATCTCATACTTGCATGAGTACATCTTATATACGTACAATAGACACTCGGTGGGCCAAGTTCAATGTCACCCACTCCACGCCCTCAAAGTTACAATCTTTGCACCGCTGAGGGTAAAAAAAGAAAAACATACCTCGTCCGCGCAATGTATTGGATGATTGACACGCTTGTGCGATATAGTATATAGGTATACAAACACTCCCATCCGTCCCTCGCGCCATATGAATATACCATTGGGTAGTATGCACCGATTGAGAGTTGTAATTTAAAGATTTGTAGTTAGTTGTTTTCAAAAGCAAAGATATCCCACAAGTATCTCAGGTATCTGCACAAAAGATCGCTCGGTGGTGTGTATGCGAGCTTGGAAATCAGAGGGGGGAAAAAAAAAGAAAGATTGGTACACCCATGGCCAAAAATGGCACTGCACGCGCACTATGTATATACTCATATATACCCGTAACGATGCGTGGAAAAAGTTTCCACGGAGGCTCGTGGGTGCATTTCAAGAGCTTTGGGGAGAGGCGAAGCTTGGCTGGGACCGTTTTTCCCGGAAGTAATTCTTGTCCCACCGGGTTTTTCGACGCTCGTCGGGAAAAATTGCTGCGAGCGGTTATTGCCAAAGTTTTGTTGGTCGAGGGCTTTGCTGTTTTCGCGCTCGAAGGTGTTTGGAAAAAGTGTGGCTTGCAAGGACCACAAAATTTTAATGGCTCGAAAGAGACTTTTTCGGCGCGTGCGAAGCTTTCCACGCTTTGCGCCCACGGTGAGAAAAATAACCGTGGATTTCGTACCCGGAGACGGTACTACCTCGTATTTTTCCTACCGATGGCGTGGTAAGCGACCGGATTTCTCGAAAAATTCATTCAGGTCATTTACATCGTTCATGATCAAATATTCGAATAAGGAATGAGAATCAAGAGGGCAGTATAAATGACAGAGTTTTTTCGATCTACATTTCCCGAGGTGTATGAAATTTTCATTTAAGAATAATTAAATTTCTACAGATAGTGATAATTTGATGATTATGATTTACATGGCGATGGTGACGATAAATTGATAAACAAATAATGCGTTTAATCATGACATATATGAGCATAGACCTTAAACTTTTTGATGATCCTATACTATTGATTTCCGGAGTTTTACCAGTTTCCATGACGCCGTGAAAAAAAAAATCCCTGAGAATACCCGGATTTCCTAGGTTTCCGGGATCTGTAGGAACCCTGAATAACAATTTTTTTTTTTTTTTTTTTTTCCCTAATAACCATTCTAAATTAATCAATAATAATTAATTACAACGACTCAACTTCCCTCATTAAGTGAATTCAAATACTCGGAGATAGAAAAAGGGGGTAGAGCACAGTCTGTACATCCTCCGTATAGGCGCATTTATACCACAAGTGATGTGAATATTTTTTTGAACTCGTAAGGCTAGAGAAAGGGGAAACCTTGACCATACGTTATTTCATCTCCAGGCCCACTCGTTTTAACTGTTCAATATACACTCCACAGCTATCACATGGCAGAAGACTCCGAACTGCCCTATCCGATTCAACCCTTTTGTCGCGCCATCCCATATCTCTTTCTCCTTCCATCGATATTTTTCATTTTTGTTATTACCAATCAACCTTCGCACTCCTGTACGAATATAGAGTAAATAAACCCGCGCGCGATAAAGTTTCTTGCGATATGATTTTCAAGATTTTTGAATAAATCAGTTTTTCAATTAAAAGAGAGGCGGGAGAGGTTTTAACTTTTTTCAGGTACTCCCCGCGTGCCACAAACATCTACCATACAATTTACGTTTGGAATAACGAAATAACATCATATTATCAAGGGAATCCAACTATAATGTTTTGAATTCGATATTGTATTCGTGATTAACAATTGAAGCACGGAAAATGGACTTAAGCACCGCCGCATTGAGCAGACGTTGAAAAACGTCAATCAGGAAATCCAATGAAACCAGTTCCCGGTGTTTATACACGCAGGGCCGAGGGTGCGGGCACTGCGATGCGGCACAAGGCAGAAAATATCCGAAAATGCAAAACTAATGGCATTATCATAATGGTACATGTGTATAATATAAACGCGCGCGCGTCGACGAGCAGAGGGTCGTGCGCGGATTTGCATCGCTGGAGGCGGGTCGAAGGGGGGTTCTATCAAGTCTCAGGAGGGAGAGATATGACGAGTTCATTGCGCGATTGCGGCCCATGCACCATCACCCGGCGGCTGTTGTTTGCTCTCTGATTCGGTTATTTGCTCCAACGACTTTGTGATCATCGCCATCATTATCTTTTTGGCGTTACACCCGATTTCGTATAATCTGGGCGACGGCGATCGAGGTTAAATTAGTTTAAAATGACAACGCCTAAGGAATACATTTTCAAAGATAGCTTTTTTTCAAGCGCAACAATAACTTGTCAACGTCCACTATCTGTACTTTTCAATATACGTTTTTGAGTATAGGTAGGGGTATAACACTTTTCATTCATTGTTGCTTTTGAAAAATATCACCACGTACACAAACTATTGTCAATTAAAAAAAAAAAAAAAAAAAAAAAAAAAAAAAAAAAAAAAAAAAAAAAAAAAAAAAAAAAATTCGAGAATGGTGCACGTGCTTCTCCCTGTGATCGGATAAGCCGGTTATAAGACACCCTCGCCGAGCACCGAAAGCTCGAACCGATCGTGCCCCTTCCAAAGAAAAATCAAAAGGAAATACATAATCATGCAACCGAGATGCAAACACTATACGCTCGTCTTACCCCTTCCAAAATCGGACTCGTAAAAAAAGGGGGAATCCCATACTATTGTCGTACAGATTAAATTTCAGCTCGGGTGGTCCAACCGTACGCTCATATATACATACACCTATTTGATAAAACACATTGACCCATACCGCCCAAATCGAGTTCAATCCAAGTAATCCAAAAGCGTTGTACATACACCTAATATATATGTAATCGCAAGCTCGATTTCCGAGAAAGCTCAGGGGCGCATGCGCAGAACTTCAGCTCTCGGTCGCCGGGCGAAGTTGGCCGGCCGATATATATATACATATACATGCGCAACATCGCGCGAGTGGAAAAATAAACACGTGTTCGGCGGCAGGGATCGATAAGGAACGCCGGCGCGCCCCTCCTACCCGCGACCATATTTCATTTAATACGTATGTTTTTTTTTTTTTTTTTTTTTTCGCGCGTCTACGGGTGTTGTACATGAGTGCGCGCACGTGTAGCGCAACATACGGAGGGAGGAGTAGCCGGCTGCACCCCACTTCTGGGGTTCCCCCGGCGCTTACAGCGCGTGTGGGTGTGTATACCGGTGGCCTCTACCTCTCTCTCTCTCTCTGGCTGTTTCGGCCCCTCCGCGAACGCGTTCGTTCGTTGGGTTTCGCGTCGTTCGATCGGATTTTGTTTGGGAGCAAGGAAACAGAAAGTTCGATTTTTTAAGAAGGGGGTGAATCGGGGAGACGCAAGCACGAGCATTGTTAATTTTTGGTATACCAGAGAGACGTTATTCGATCGATCGAAGAAAAGGAGGGGGGAGGGGGTATGGGGCAGTGGCGAACCGATCGAAGTAGTCAAGGTAAGAGAGGAGGAGGAAAAGCAGGTGTTGCCGAGATTTCTCGGAGAAAACATCGTGCACGCGCGGGCGAAGGATAGGAAGGGAGATCCGGTGGCTGGATCGGGGCGCAGGATCGGGAGCGTCGCCTTGGCAACGCTCCAGTTCAGTTTGGAATCGCGGAGCGCCCTCCTGATGGTCTATATACGTTACGACTCCTGTATTATTTAGGCTTTGTTACGCCGATACGGTGCCGGCAGCAGCAGCCGTGTTTGGGGCGTGTGGATGATTTACTTGTTTACTTCGTATGGTATCTTTCGAAAAAATTTTTTTTCAATTTTTTTTCAATTTTGTGTAGATACAAGGTACAAACATGTGAATTGTTTATAATTAAAGGGTACGGGTGAACGTATAGTGAGCACCGATATCTCTATACTATTCAACCAAAGTCCTTGTAATCCTTACACTAAACGTGAATATGCACCTACCTTCTCAATTGATCATATTTTCAATTGTAAGGTCGTATGAATAAAAAAACATTCCAATTAATCCGTCGTTTATGTTACTTTTCTCAATTTCACGTGTCGCACTACATTTTGGTACTACATACCTATACAGTACACACACTCGCTCGGCCGCAACTTCAAGTCACGTGACCCAGTTAACTTTGATTTTCAAGCCATATCTCATGAAATAAAACAAAGGAGGGGGGAAAAAATTGCTTATTTGTATGCATATAGTGACACGTTTTTGCAAAAATCTTCATCATCCAAGCCAAACAATAGCGAGACATGAGTAAGTGCGTGTGTTTAATCATTTGCATCGAAAATTACGGTACACAGGCAATGGTGATGACGTTGCAAAAAAAAAAATAAATAAATAAAAAAAAAAAAACCTTATCTACACGTTCGCGCACATACACAAATAATGGCGTGCCAACTCGTTGTCAACGCCGAATATATCTGAAGAGGGTATAGATTCTTTTATTGCTACGCTCGAACATATGTATTTAACAATACTACAATAGAATATAATATACCCTACACGTAGTGTGTATAACCTACGTATAATACAGATTAAACGAATAGGAGTAGGTATAATAATAATAATAATAATAATACAAGATGGTGTGACGGTGATACGAGAGGTATATGGACAACATATTGTATCGATGTGTGTATGCGCGCTCGAGAAAATTCCGAGTCACGACGGCGTCGACGCCGCCTCGCCTACGTATACACATCAGGTATATACACCCATGGTGACAATGACCCACTTGCCTCGCCATCAGCAGCTTTTTGTTGTACCATATTGCACTATGTTATATAAAATTCTCTCTTATACTCGACGATTTTTTCTCTTTTGATCTCGATCGCGGCAGCATACATCTATATATAATACATTTGATTCGTGTAATGTTATGGATAAAATGATACGGTCTTTGGGACCCCGGGGTGGTACTGTACCTATATATACATTTTTGACGACAAATCCCTTGTATGCGTCATGCCCGAGATGCGATACATCCTCATTCTACAGGTTCTGTATATACCTACGTAGAGTAGAGAGAAATATGACTTGTTGATCTTTCCCTGGGATGTGCTACAATAAATATGATGCATATCGGATGTATAACCGATGGATCACTACGATGATGTTTATTGTAAAAATATTGTATGCCCGACATTTAAATTTTTATGCAGTGATCAACTGTGTAGAAACGGCTATATGTTTCGTCGATGTAACGATTTAATAACAATTTTCGACAAATATTGCAGCTGCGTGACAATAGAGTGCGAGTTTCAAGCTATGGAGAAAAAAAAATAACAATAATAATAAAGCAGATTATGATTGACGTATGAAGAAAAAATAACTCTCATTTACAATACGCGTGTCCAATGAGTTTTGAAATTTGTCCTGGAAACTCTTGATATATATATTATACCGTGCACCTTGAAAACCACGTAATTTAATGAAGTAATTAAAGAAACAAAACATTGACATCCAACTCGAAATGGTAAAATCGACCAATCCCCTGGGAGCTCAAACTGTAAGAAATTCCAAGCCACCCGGGACTACTTTTACTGAGGAGGCCAAAAAAAAATCCCGTAATAATCAACTCAATTCCAAATGGCAAAACAATGACCTTCTCTTTGCAAAATTTCAACAACCCCCCTGTGATTTTCCCGAGATTCCTCTGTAATGGGTTATTGAGATGCTGATGGGATAGCCCTCGTCCGTCCCGTCCACCCGATCTTTTCCCCCACCATTGACGTCAACAGGAGAAGTGCACACGCGCGCCTTATCCCCCTTTTAGCTACTTAAAATATGTCCACTATATCTGTAAATCTACATACCTACCAATCACCCTTTTGCGTACATATACATATTATGTACCCAAGGACACGCGCTCTTTCGGAGCGTACGTATACAGTGTATAAGGTATAGCCAAGGGGATATAAGTTGGTGATAATATATGTATGCTACGTTACATGTTCAAGGAGTGGGATAAAGGGGTTGTTGGTTGCGCATATATACGACGTTCTGGCATCGGAAGGTCGATGACGTCCGGGGGAAATGTACACCTAATGCAGACACCGGCTTCAAGCGGCGCGGTGAGCGAGAGAGCATATATATATATTATACCCCACGCCGCAACGATTACCATCCCAACCCTTCTTCCTCCTCCACCGACACGACGTACCTATATTTATATTATACACACGTGCATACGTGTGTTTGGGTGTCACCGGGCGACGGCGCGTGCGCGCGTTTTTGGACTTTTGGGGTTTGATGCGCGACGAAGACCCTCCCCGCCCACCCCCCTCCAACGCTGTTTTAATCGTACGCAAGCGTCTGTCGAGCTTTCGCCCACCACGTCCCTTCAGATGATTTGATCGTTGAGATACCTATAACCGGCGATTTTTTCGAAGATGATATTGTGTGTATTTTGGGTGCTAGGAACAATGGCTTTTTTGTGTTAATTTTCGTTACTCAGGCAAGTGTACTCTATATAGGTATTATATCGAATATTATCATGTGGTGCGACGACGTCGGTTCTTCGTTACTTTACGCAGTGAGGGTTTTTTAGGTCAATATATTGTGTGAAAGAAGGAAAAAAAAGATGGTCGATAATGAAAAACCATCATCTGTGCAACGTGAATGAAAAAGAAAAAAAAAAAACCTTTGCGATTGATTCATGTATTATGTCTTTGGATGATCCGCAACACGTGCTACGCGAAGAGGTGATTCAAGCGGATCCTAGATAAAAGCGACACGCCGTCCCTCTCGATCGATGACGAGCTTCGGTTATTTTGAATTTTTACATCGGTTTCAACTAGCCGGCTTTTCCGATCAACACTATCATCAGCTCTTTCCTTACGAATATATGTATATATAAAATTGAATGAACCGAGTACGGTCTTGGTTCTTTGTTGTTGATTTGATTCTTCCAAAGAGGCGTTATGAAAACAAAAAACAGCCCCGTTACAGATCTTTTATATACCACCGGGATTTCTAAAGGAATTAAAGTGCGTCCCTGAATTCTAATCGAGCAGAGTTCAGGGAGTGGCCGAAATTAACGAGCACGCCAAGTCGCGTTACAAATGAAACAATTGGATCGTATGGCGTTAAGAAGCGGTGGACGCTTTGTTTTTTTATTTTTTGTTTTTTAATCAATTTAAGCTCTCGAGCGTGGGTATACACTCTTGCGTCGGCGTGAAAAAAAAGGTACGAGTATTTTCATTTATAAACACACAGGATTAGGACTGAAAACTTTATCATACGCGAGAGATTTAAAGGGGGGGGGGAAACAACCAGGGTAACAGTTGATCGGTGGACGCTCCTGCTTGCCTATATACATTCTCTCTGAATGATTAGGTGAACAATGCACTCGGTGCATACTCCCCCTTTGGATGTATAGGTGTACTTGCACAGGGGGGGACCAAAATTGCGAGCTCGCGTCAATTGTCGCGGTGGCGAAGCAGTGCAATATTTCCTTCGCTGCGCGCGCGAATAAATAGGCTCTGTACCAAGTAGCGCGGCAAAACAGCCGAGACGATGCACCGCGAATTAGGCGCACTCCGTGTTTATATATATATATAGTTCGCTCCCGCGCTTTCCCTCGGATTTTTTTTTCTCTCTCTCTCTCTCTCTCTTCTTTTTTTTCCTCTTTACCGCTACTGCTGCTGATGATGATGATGGCGCACGGAGAAATCTCCTCGCCGCGGGTTCTCGGCGTTTCTAGAACTCCCGGTTCCGCGCTTCGTTTCATCACTGCGCGCTTGAAACTTGGATTTTTGGCGGTTTTTGTTCATCGCTAGTTGACACAGGATAACGAAACAGCATAGCTGTTAAAGCGATGATTCGTTGGTAGCCCCCGTCAATGGTGTTTCTTTTTTTTTCTCTTTCACACGTAAACGATGATAAAACATGATTTCTTTCGTTTTTTTTTTGTTTTTTTTCTTTTTCTTATCCACAAGTTTCAATTGTATGCATGAAAACACAGAGTTGTCGCTCGATACCCTCAAAAATACGCAAATGACAACATAAAGTCTATACATCGCTCGGATGGAAGGAAAAAAAAAAAACAACGCAAGGTGCTCTACAACAGAAAGTATACCTGCGCAACAACAATAACGCAAGTTAAGCACATATTCGCCTTGCACGCGTGTGCACGCACGTACTTGTATACGAGCGGTGCGCGGAGTGGCTCTCTTTTTAGGCTTAACGGTTCAACCGGCAGTTCCGCAATCGGTAAGTGTATATACGCTCTCGTGTGTTGCCACTGCGCGTAACAAAAAACGTGAGAGAAGAGAGGATGGCGCGCGGGGAGGGGGATGTTTCTCTCTCTTCGTCTTTCGCGGGAGAGCGCGCGCGAGCCGACGACTTGGTTCAGTTCAGCGACCTCTTCGAGAGAAAGAGCCGAGACTCGCGACGACGAGCGAGTGGCGAGGAAGAGACTCTTTGCTGCTGAGCTATTCTCTTTCGCTCTCGCCTTCCTGTTTGATGTTTCTTTTTTTTTTTTCCTCTATCTTTTCCTGCACGGCGTTCGCCCACTTTCTTTGCGTGCAGGGCTTTTTAATTTTTTTTTTTTTTTTACTTATCAGCGAGGTTTTTTTTTTTCATTTAGGATATTTTGGTGTGGGGTCCAATGGGAAAAAAAAAAATCACGGGCGACGGAAGAAATTTTGAGAAACCGGAAGTTACATACTGGGCGCAGGGTTCATTGTTCGCGCGATCGGGTGAGCATATTACCGAGATTAGGGACTATCAATGGCTACTATGACGTTATACTTATAAACAGAACAGCATCGGTATGTCCACGCCATTTCTACGAGTACTTGGAAACTGAAAGAATTTTTTTTTTTTAATAAACTGTTCTACGTTATGGTTACAGTCATTCATCATTGCACTATATGTTGAAGTCCTTTAATCGATAATTAGCAGAAAATATGGCATTTTTCGAATTATTGTAAAATTTTTACTCCAAATAGATGTTTTTTCTAATGAAGTGAGCTTCAGGTACAGTATCTTCGTAAAAGGGGTTTGAAATGTTGAATTTTAATATTGTAAAAAAGTTTATTCAAATTGTAAAAAACAAGAATTTTGTATACCTTGGACAGAGGGAAACAAATTGAGATTCAGAAAAAACAACTGTTATTAGTATATCTAAAATGTTTTCAATTTCCAAAAGCTCGTGAGCAAAGTAAACTATATATACATGGTAATGTAAAATGGCTCAAGTAAGCATGTATATATAAGTATGAGAAAAGAAAGAAGAAAAAAAAAAAAAAAACTCACCACAAGCGACGAGCTCGGGCGACACGAAGCCCGAGAGATCGGGTTCCTCGCCGTACCAGAATATCCAGAGCTCCTTGGCCGCCTGGAGGGACAGGGGCGGCGGAGCCGGCGACGGCGCTATGGCGTTCAGGTCGAAGATGTTGGCCGAGGCGTTGGCAGCGGCGTTGTGCCCTTGGCTGTTGGCCTGGGCGGCGGACACCCGCCGCCAAACGCAGAGTATGTCGCCGGCCAGGCAACGCGAGAAACTCGCCAGCACCGGGTCCTCGAGCAGCCCGCTGTTCCCGAAGCCCCCGCCCGTCGTCTCGCCCCAGACCAGCTTCCTCCATTTTATGCCGCAGAGGTCCGCCTGTCGATCATTTCCATCGTTTACCAATTCGTCATTACCTCCTTCCTTTCTTTTATTATTTATTCATTCAATAACATCAACGGGCTAATTCCCCTTTACAAAATATAATGCCATGAAAAACATTATAAACATATACTAGCGCTATTCCAGGATTTTTAGAACATTAAAATGTCCCTTTGGAAAAAAAAAAAAAATAAATAAATAAATCACGACTATTCGTCACATTCAAATAGAGAGAAAAAAATAAATAAAAATACATACAACACTTGTTGAATCAATCATTCTATGTTTATTAATTTACATGATATTGACAACTATTGGCTACAATTTTGCAACATTGGTACATATCGATCGCATATTATATCGGTATCTCAAAAGTGATATTCAAACATATAGGTACTACGTTTAAAAAAAAAAAAAAAAACACTCAACATATTGCGCAATATATATAAGTGTGTTGTACGAGTTGTTTATGCGTCATTTCATATTTAGAATCACTAGGATTTACACTTTGTAGGTCTTTACGAGCGATAAAGCGCAAATTATTTCTTGACGAATCACACTATGCCAGATTCGGCCATTTTTACGTCGAAAGCTCCTTCGCACACGATTGCCTAAGAAAATTTAAATACTCATTATAATACATCGTAGGTATTTAAATTGTTAACGAAAAAGGAAAAAAAAAAAAAAAAAAAAAAACAACAACAAATTGTAACGTTTTCCGAAACGCGCGTTCTCACCCTCTATATGAACGCGCAAAAATCTCAAACGTCAAACTCGCGTGCGATGCAAAGGGCACACGTGCACGCAGTTATCGCGCTGTGTCTCTTCCCTCTTCTTTTGGCGCGTCCGCAACCGTCCACAACAACGTGTTAGGCGCGAGAACGTGTATGAGCAACTACACAGTATACCTATAGTTCGCGCGTCAAGTTGCCAATGGTTATTTTCGGCGACGGACCGACGACAATTGGATCGCCTCGTGCGTTGTATGTGACGCATTTGCAGGAGGGAGGTAATCATCGGGCGTATAAACACATCGCGTGTGCACTGGAGGACGAGAGAAGTGAGAGAGGGGGGGGGTAGTAGATCTTAGGTAGTGATAAGGGGTGCGAGGTAGTGTGTGCGGGTATGGTACTTTTCACATTTTTACTCGCGATGATCCGGTTATTACGCGTGTGTGGGACAGGTGTGTATTTTATTAATAAGGATGATGATACGGGAGGGAGATTACGTGTGGTGAATGAGTTAATTTTTATGTCGGATTTACATTTTTTCTTTTTTCTTTTCTTTTCTTTTTATTATTATTATTAATAACTTGTATTGATTTCATTGGTTTTGGACATAAATAATAAATATTATGATTTTTATGAAATCGTACCCGTTATTTATCATTTTTCTCGAAAATATTTCAAGTAATTAAAACCCTCTGTTCGGTACTAGAATACAATAATAATAATAATAATAATAAACATCGCTAATGCACAAGACAAAATGAACCTTTCAAATTTAAAGGGAAAATTCTTTGAAGTTGACATTCTTGATGCAAAAATTTTTAGCCACAGCCTGGTCTTATGAATTGTGTAAAAAAGAAACGTTTCGAATGGAATTTATTGGACAAGTTTACACTTAAACAAGCACGAGATAAATAAATAGCGAAAAAGCGTAGAAACGATACAGGAAGAAAAAAAAGAAGAAGGACACGTTAAATGTTAAGACAACAAGTTGTTGGAACGACAGGTACGAATTTTCAGGGTAATGCAAAGACGCGAGCGCGAAAAAATAAGAGCTATACACGTTGTATCACGGAAAGGGTTATTATTATTATTTTGTATAAGGGCCATTATTGATTATTCATTACTTCCAAAATTAAATATTAAGAAATAAAGAAAAAGCTTACGATTTTAGGGAAAAACATGGAACTTTAAAAAGTCTTCGGAACGATCAAAAGCACGAGCATTGTCTCGTATGTACTACCTATAAAGCTTTTTTAGCCGCCCACGATAGAAGTAAAAAAGAAGCCGTTTAAAATTCGTTGAGCGGGAAATTCAAATATTTAATTCCCATTGGCCGATTCGATCACATAATCTCTTTCATTGGTCAATTTTATACTTTCCGCTCAACGAATTAAACGGCCTCTACTGTACAAGCAACGAATACATTCAAGGATACAAAAGAGTCGGTTGACTATCTTACACCCAAAATTACACATAGATACTACAGGTGTACGTGTAATATCGTAAATATTCCATCGATTGGGATCTTACACACGTATATATACAAGCTTGTCATGCAAACGAGCGCGTGTTTGGTGAGCGCATCGATTCGTTGATTAATTTTTCATCGCATCACCCGAGCATAGGTGACAGTGCCATTATTCTTATACGTTTCCCCTTCACTAGCTGTATAGTGTTGATATATAACACACACAAACATCGTCGGCGAGAGTTAACTAGCCTCAACGATTACGATCACTCCGGGGTATTATACGGATGTTGCACGAGTCGGTTATCTGATGCTCTATTGTCTTTTCAACGGCTGCACTTGCACTTGCGTAAAATACACACGACCATCAGCTAAAACTCACAAATAAAGTTCGGACGCCTCATAAACCCTTTAACTCGATCGATCTACGGAATATTGAACGCGTTTTGCGCGGTGTACGCACAATACACCGTGTATACACCCGCACCGTTTGCCCGAGGAGAGGAATATATTTTTGCACGCGGGAAACAACGGTCGTGTCGTAAATTGCGCGCGAATCGATGCTCGGGACATATTTTATGGATTTTAAAAGAAAAGAACAAGTAGGCAGCAACAAAAAGGTGAGCAATTTACATACGCGATGCGCTCGACTGCGAGAGAGAGAGAGAGAGAGAGAGAGAGAGAGAGAGACAGCGTTGGTAATTTTCCTCCGATATTATTATGGGTTATTTCAATCTTTACGCTTTCTTTATTTCAGAGCAAGCTTTTACACGCGAGCGAAAAATTAGCGGTGTACGCTTCAGTGCTTTTGTACGTGCAGTGTTTTGACAAGAGAAGAGCTTTGACTTGTTTTTTTTTTGCATTGATTTAATTAGCGTTATTGGTATATTATTTACTGTACTACTTTCATAAGAGTCATTAATACCCCAAATTGGCAAGGGTTTTTTTTTTTAATACTTTTGATACACTAAACACGTATAAAAAGATATGTAAATGGATGGACGACGTCATATGTATTCATTCACCGATTGCATGGTTGATTAAATAAATGTTAATCATGCAAATAATAATGAAAATAATAATTGCTGTACAACATTTCATGTGTCGAGAAATATAAAACTTCAAAAAAAGTGAAGTTAATTACAGGACATCACGGTCATGCACAAAAAAAATTAAGTTTCTGTATGAGCAACAAGTGAAAATATAAAAAATTCACTTTTCTGATATAGGATATAATAACCCTGATTATATGTATGACAAATCAAAATTAGTATGAACGCTTGTGCATCATAAGCCAGAATTCATAGGTATACTGCCAATTTTTGATACCCCGACTCGCCCCAAGTTTAATGCAATGGACACAAATGACCCTTTGAATGACCCTTTCAATTTTTATACAGAAGGTGAAAAAAAATATTAAAAATTTAGCTAATCAACTTAACCCGAGACGCTTACGGCAGATATATCGTTACCAACGATCCTAGTGCACCTCCTCTAGTTAAAAAAAAAAAAAAAAAAAAAAAAAAAAACAATTAAATCCAAGCAGTGGACATACTAGTATAACAATTCAATTACCTATAATAACGATGCATATAAGTATATAAGGCGTTAACAACGTATCATAGTTTTCCCATATTTTGACTTGCTGCGAAGATATTATTTTAATTTTATTCCCACCCAACAGCAGCTCCGTCAATTAGAGTGCACTAACGTGAGTTTATCGATTAGCAAACGAGCGAGCAAAAATAAATAAAAAATAAAATATGAATTCAAGGGATACGAGAAAAAAGAGCATATAAGAAGAAAAGAAGAAGGAGCGATGAGGACGACGAGGACGAGATGACGCGTATAGTACGGGCGAAAGGGTGCGTTCTACGGGCCTGCCTGCTGTCAGCTACTGATCAATACACACCGCAGAGAAAGAGAGACTCCTCGTCGGCGCCTACTACCCTTCTCGCTTCACCTTGTCCTCCTTCTTATTCTCCCGACTCCCTCCTTTTTCTCCTTTTTTTGCTTTTTTCCATTTGCATGTACATATACATTGTACTCGTACACTTAGCAACCCAATTCTTTGAATCAAAGAAAATTTCTTTACCCTCATTCCGTTGAATATTTTCTTTTAATTGAAACAAATTTAGTCGATCCAAAAAAACATTTCGTACAATTTTGATTTAATAAAATATTATTTTCAATTAACTTATATTTTTTTACTCATAAGAAAATATTTAACGGAATATGAGGGTAAAGAAATTTTCTTTGATTCAAAGAATTGAGTTTCTCAGTGTACAGTACCTACCGCAAAGGGGTTAGCGCTGCTCACCCACTATCTCATCATTTTTCTACCTCCCTTAACGTTGCAGAGGTTATACGTATTGGGCACCGCACCGAAGCACCAAAAGTCTCATTTCCCTTAGTCGAGTTGTTGTCATTTCCTTGGCTATTATTATCATCCCCCGACGATCGTTTCGCGGCTTTTCATTCCACCCGCCCTTTTGCTGCCTGAGGCGACGGGGAGGAAAAGAAGCCCACCGAAGTTTTTTTTTTATTTTTTTTTCCCCCAAAGGGTCGTAAGTAAGAGGACGACGTTTCATCCGTCTGCTCTTCGGTGCTTGTGGATGATTTTCACCCCCCACCCCCATAGTCACTGCAAGCCTGCAGTAGTGCGAGTCAGACACGCTCTTCACCGTCTCTTTTCCTCTCGCGTCATCACTGCATGGTCCCAGTCGCGAATGCTGGGGAGGTAGTAAAAAAAAGGGCTGGTGCTGCACCGCCGCTTCCACGAAAAATCTCATTGGCTC